GATCCCAGACTCTTCACACTGATTTTGGTCTTGCAGCTGCTGATGTTGGGTAAGCCTTGATCTGTTCTTTCCTCCTTCAGGCTGCAAAGTATAGTTACTTTCCCAGATGTGGAAGATAATCAAGATACAGTACCATGAAAAAACAGGGAAAGGGAAAACATTCCTTCCAAGGTCACAAAGACAGCATTTGTTTTTATTAAGATTGTCTTTGACTCTTAATTGTCCTTATGGAACATTAGCTTTGAAATTTCCTGCAAAATCAACTGTGTGCAAATGACTTTGTTTAAATCAAACTTTTGACATTTTAGAGTATACAAATGTGAAGTCTCAGGACACTAGGTATTTTAAACTTAAGATTTAAATCATGAAGCTATAGCCTCCAGCTAAAAAATAACGTTCATTGATCTAAGTTGTATATGGCAAATTTTCAGTTAGTTCTCAGTGACTTTTTTTCAGTAACACATTTACTTTCTCCATTTCTGAAGCTCTGACATGACTGTAGAAAACAGCTAGTTGAATAAGTTGGAGTCAATCAGTAGGTTTTTCAGAGCATCTTTGAGATAATTATTTCCAGACACGAGACCTTAATGTAATTTTTAAAAAGTTGCCAGTTAAATAAGCACTAGAAAAAATACTAATGGAAAAAATTAAAATAAACAATGGTATAATTATTTTAAAATTAAGGAGGAGTAGCTGGGAACCACAAGAGGCATACTGATGTAGAGCAGTGGTTTTCAGCCTGTAGCCAGAAGACCTTTCTGGTGTGAGAGCTACTTCTGAAGGGGGTCTGTGAAAGGACATTAGGGAAAAGATGTGTTTAAGCTTTGAAAAGGTAGGAGACAGCTGGACTGGAGGGGACATATCTGGAAGAGTGAGGCATGAAGGGGAAAAAAGGCTGTTGCATATCCTGGGAGAGAGCCACGAGTATGTGCTGCAGTAACAGGCCAGCCAGCAGTACACTTGCACTTGAACACTGCTGAGCATGAGCTGGTAAGCCCAAAGCTTAGCCGTGGGGGCTAGCTGTGCAAGGGTTTTCTAGCATGGATGCCCCAAAGTGCAAATGAATCTGTGCTGCCTGGGGATCTAAGGTGCTGTATCCATATAGAGCTGTATCATACTGCATGATCTCCCTGGAGCTTTTTGAAAGTAATCTGGGGGTACCTGCTTTCTGTTGTATTATATGTACAAATATGTGAGGTCACCAACTTGATGATGTACACTTGAAGAAAAAAAAAAAAAGGAAAAATGTAGTCTTTATGGATGCAATGAGATGAGGCATTCAGGGTAATCAGATTCCTCCTGCTTCCAGGCTTTAAAACTAACAAGCTTGTTTTATAACTAATGCTGCTTCTGGAGCAAGTTACACAAACTGCCTATCATACGAGATGTGTCAGAAGATGTACCCCTCCCTTTCTTGAGTTAGCCCCCTTTGAACTTTTTGTTTCTCTTCCAGAATAGAAATATCTCTACGAGCACCTATTTTTGACAAATTTAACGTAACTCATGTTGGCATGTTCTCTTGTTGCTGTCAAACAGTCTTTTGCAAAATAGGCATTATAGGGAATTGAATAGCTTTCTATACAGAAGAGAAAGAAGGAATCTCCCAGCATTTGAAATGTGTGACAGAATTACACATTAGGTTCTGCGTGTAATCAAGCTTTCATCTGTTATCCTCATATGAATTCGAAAAAAAAAAAAAATTGCAAAGAGTTTTTAAGGTAAGTTCTGAACTTACTTACTCTCCTGACAATCAGAAATGAATTGTTACTTTAAATGTCTGTGAAACAAGTCTCTAGTGACATTTTTAAAAGATTTTGCATGACAGAGCCCGCTTCTTAATGTGTTTCATAAGACTTAAAGCAAGATTTAGAGTAAGCCATCCAAGTTGCAACTACCACAGAGGAGCACAGGTTTTCATTTTTTAAACATCTTGTTGCATGGGAACATTTGGATTGCAATCATCTTCTACTTGCTCTAAGAATGAATGTGGTAGGAATAAAAGGTCCATTGACAAAATTGCTACAGTACACTGAGAATCAAATCCTTGATCAAAGGTCAGAGAGCCCAAAGTTGCCATGTCTGTGTTGGAGAGGTTAGTTCCTGTTTAAAACAGCATGCAGTGCAGAAGTTTTTGGAAGAGACAAGTATGCAGGAAAGCAGAGCTGTAAATTAGGAGATGCTGGCAGAGGCCAACCACAGGATGAGGCTGCACAGGATGAAATGGTGTTGTCACTGCTGGTCAGGATTGGGTTTGTGCACAGAGCTCTATATGTCACGTTCTCTGAGTCTTGCTCAGATTTTGACTGCAGATCAGTCAATCAGAGTGCAAAATTCCCTCAGAAGGCAAAAGGAAACACAGGAGAAATGATAAAAGGCATGTGATAGGCAAGAAGGAAGAGGAGGAGTGTATTTTTTTTTGCCTGACCATGTGTAATAAATGGTGGAAATCCTATCTGGGATCTGTAGTTTGAGTCATTGTAAATGTAGTACCCTTCCATGTTGGGTTCTCATTTTGTCCGCCTATAGTCTTGTCCAAAATTAAGCTGTTCATCCAGTTTCTGGATAATTGCAGTTTAACAGTGGCTGAGCTCATGGCTGAAATCTGAAGGCAAAGTTGGATGGGTGGAACAAATAGACATTTTCTAAGTTTGTGTCAGAGCACTAGTTATTACCACATGTTTATAGATAAATTCTGAATTCATCCCACTATGTATTAGGAAAAAAGCAGCTGCAGAGTAAAAGACACGCAGTAAAAGTTAATTGTCATGGAGAAGTTTATTCAAAATAGAACTTCATTTGTGGTGGAAATGAGTGGTCAGTTCCTTGTAATACCATTGAACAGGCTCTCTTTAAAGACATTTTACAGTTTTCCCCTTGAAGAATTGGTAGAATTTCTTTAGCAAATTGGTGTAAGCCTCATTCTGTTTTCTTAAAAGAAAGGTCTGGTTTCAGGACTGTTGTGGACTGACTTATATTCGAGATGGACCAAAGTATGGTAAAACTGATGGTTGGATTTTTTTAAAAGCTTACCAGTGATTATTTAAAACATTTTTACTTCTTTGTGTATTAAGTGAGATGGGAGAGGATAGCCAGTAAGGTTAATTCTTTGTGACGTGATCACTTCTTATGCGTTCTTCAGACTCATTTTTACTATGGCTCATGCTGAATAAATAGGATGCACTATAGAGCTCAGCAATTCCTTCCCCTCAGATTTTTAGGACATCGAGAGCTTTGGAAAATATTTTTCTAATATGAGAATGTGGAAAATAATGTAACAGAAAAGACTTAAATCATTTTTTTCCCCCTAGTACTCCTTCTCCAACTGTGTTTTTCTTTCTCTTACAAGCAGAAATATATACGCTTCTTTTAAGAGGTGCAGAAAATAGCAACTTAATTGGTGTGCCTGATGTCTAGCAGCTGCTACTGCTGGAATCGGTGGAAACTAAACTATTGTATAGAAGATGAAATGCATCTGGCTTTGCAAATGTTTGGGAGACATGGTGTTTATATATGACTTTCCTGTAAACCCTATATTGAGATTCTGCTGTAGCCTTCATCACCAATTACAATGTATTTAATCCTCAATAGAAATTTCATTTTCCAGTTCTCATCACGTCTAAATTTGCATATTCAGGTATTTCTGGCATTAGCATAAACACACCTGGCACGTAAAGCTTGCATAAAAATGGATATTTATATATCTGTTTTAATGTTTATGCATACAAGTAATTCAGTTTGCTTTTAGTTTACTTGCACTCTTCGTGTGTCCAAATGCTGCACAAAAAGGGATTTTGCCTTTAATTCTAATAGTGCTAAGTTAAAAGTAAAATTAATATAAAAATAAGTGCCTGAGACTCAAAACCTTTTGGCTATTGCAATGTCTTCATATTAGAAATCAAAGTCTTAGCAAGCTCTTTTATTCAAGAGACTCTTCTGAAGAGTGTGACAGTTTCCTAGGCAGGTTAGCTGCCACTTCCAGCCAGAATCTAAGCAGATATAGGTATCAGACTGGATGAGTGTTTTAAAAATTTTGTTCTTAGTTTAGATGGGAGCTATGGCAAAATAGAATTCAAGCGCAGTTTGAGTGTCTGCTTTGTTCTAATGAGTTAATGTTCAAATATGTATAATCACTGTCTTATTTTTGCAAAAATTCTTTAAACAATAGAAAAGGAGGAGAAAGAAGCATTAGGAAAGTGAGGATTTATGTTGGCTAATTTTAAGAAAGAAGAAGAATGTTCTTCAGACCGCTATTCAGAAGCTTCTTCAGAAAATTGATAGTGACAGGCTCTGAATTTATCCTTAGAATATCAGAGAGGGCAGGGAAAGATCAGGATCACATTTTTTCCATGGTGATTCTTCTTATCAGTTTTTGCATTGGGGATTTTTGGGTTTTGTTTGTTTGCTTTTCCAGGGGGAGCAGGACAGGGCAAAGGAATTGTTTGGTTGCTATTGAGAGTTGATAAAGGGCTGGATCTACCAATTTCTTGTCACGTTCCTAGGCTTCTCATGTTGCTATTTCTTCTAGCATTTAAGCAATTCTCATTCTTACCTGATCTGCTTTTACTTTCTTTCCTTATTACCCTGTAGTAATAAGTAAGCAGTATTTAAGTACAGGCCTGTTTTAGTGGGTATAACATCTTCACAAAAGTATGCTTCTTTATGTCATTACAAATGCTGACTTATAGAGGCTTTACTAAATAAAAAATCCATTATTCAATGGAACGCAGATGATGGAAGTTGTTTATAGCAACATCTAGTTCTTCATAGTTTAAGTTGGCTTTTTATGGTAAAAGATAGCGTGTATCATTTGTCACAGAAATCCATGTTTAGGAGGAGAAGAAAAAGGAGGAAGGTAGTGTTGTGTGCAGTCTACAGTTTGTCTTAGCCTTTGAAGGAAAATGGTGATGTACGTCACTTACAGTTTGTTTTAACCTTTGTTATTATCACAGTAACTATTTACATGTTTTGTCTTATACTGATAATAATGCTCATTGTTGCAGGCAGATACAAAGAAAATTACAAGCACCTGCAGTCACTTATGCAACATATCGAGGTTCTGCAAGGATTAGAGAGCTACTGAAAAGTCAGTCAGAAATGACTGAAAAAGGAGAAGAAAGTACTGAGAACAGAGATGCTTCAGTGATCAAGGAAAATGGAGAAATCCAAACAGCTGTCTCTCTAAAATCAGAACACTTAAAGGAAAATGGAGAAGATGAGGATAAAGATCATGAAGATGATGTCATAGTAAATTCTTCTACAGTAAAAATGGAATTGAAAAAATCTGGTGAAGCTCAACATTACTTGGGTAGCAGTAAACATGAAATAATGCCAAATGCCTCAGCTTCACCTACTGGATCATCTAGTGGAGTAGACTTGAAACATACATCAGCTTTAGAAGCAAACAAAGTTAAGTCACAAGATTCATTATTGTCATCTAGTGGGAACAGTGAGATCGCAACCAATTCCACTCATCAGATTACCAATGCCCTTAGTGCTGTGGACAATTTGTTTGGAAAAGAAAACGTACTGCTGGGAGAAACAGAAGCTCCATTTCAAATGGACAAAAATGCCACTTCTAACTGTGAAAAAGAAATTCACTGTAATGATCACTCCTATCAGCAGTCTGAAGAAAAAATGCAGGATGACAGAGTTAACAAAGAACTCCAATTGAGCAAGGAAGAATATCGCTGTAATCATCAAATGAATAACCACTCAGAGCTAACATCAAATGTACAGACATATCATTCCAATACTATGTTCCAGCAGCAAGCAGATGAGAACACAGGCAATGCAAATAAAGATAGTGATCCAAGAAAGAGTGATGCACGGAAAATTGTGGCAGCTGCAGAAAGAGAGCAAAATCCACAGAATTTTCTTGCTACTGTTGTTTTACCTTTTGACGAACAGACATGCTGCACCTCGCTTAGCATGGAGTCCACAAGAGAAGAGTGCATAGTCACAGGTAATCTGACTGCTTCAAAGTTAACTCTTAAAAATGATAAAGGCACAGTGGTGGACCATGTGACTTGTAATGAAGAACTGAATGAGTTAGGGAAACCAGTGCATGTACAAAATGAGCATCAATTAAACCTTGTGGAAAACTCTAAGGATACTGCCGCACCACAGCGTTTATCTTGTCTGGATAAAAAGAAGGTTTTGTCAGAGGTTGCAGAGGAAAATTTTGCTGTATCATGCACACGTGGATGTGAAAATGTGAAATCTAACTTAGATCAGCTGACAGAATCTCTCTCTGTTAGCTTTGAGTCTTCATTTGAAACAGGTGACTGTTACTCAGCTTCCCTTCATCCTGATTGCAAATCTGTAAATAAAACTAAAGTGAAACAAGGAGTTGGTTCAAAAGATAAGAGAGACACTGTTTCTACTCCTGATCTTGAATGTAAAAAGAGCAAATTCTTTGAGACTGTAGATATGAGCATCTCAGAAAATTCCACTCCTGCCCATGGTACAGTTTCCCATAAAACTGTGCAAGACATTTCTGAAAAATCATTAGTTACGCTTGCAGGAGATAACATATCAAAGCCTGCACCTTGCCCTTTTGTCAGCACTGGAAGGACAGATGATACTATACCTGCTGCTTCTAAAATCAATGAGGCTGATATGAATGAGATGGCTCTTGCTCCTTTTGAATTTAAGAATTGTATTTCTGAACTTTCCTCTCACATTTCTAAATCACACGAAGAACATCTGGAGGTTTCTGATTCTGCCCTGAGATGTGAAGGTCAACCTTTGACTGAGCGTTTCTCTGTCATCTCTCAAAAAGACATTGATGTAGACATTGTTTCTGCTCCTCCACCTAGCTGTGAAAATACACATATTAATATTTCTTCCGAAGTTAAAAGCAATAATAAGCATGGGATATCATCCACAGTACTTTATTCTTCATCTGATAACCAAGGAAAAGTGCCTTCTCCTGCCACTAACTCTGAAAATGGTCAGGTTGCTAGATGGTCTGCTGCTTCCAAGCAGGACAGCTGTGTTTTTGTGACTGCTGAGTCTAGGAGAATAATCCCTGAGGACAGAATGACTGAAGCACCACTTTGCTCAGAAGACCTGAGAGCTTCATGCCCATCCAGTTCTCTGGAACCTGAGTTCACCCCAGCTGTGCTCCATCATTTTACTTCTGAAGTAAATGTGCAGGATTTTTGCATCCCCAAGTCCCCTTCACCTACTCAGGAATCCAAAGAAGGCTCAAAGTTTTCTATTTCTGCCTTGGAAACATCAGGCATTGCACAGGAGGACTGTAGCTCCTCTGGTTGCAGATTTGGTGTTGAGGCAGAGGGTTTATCTTCTGCACAGCAGGCTGCTGCTGATGTCTTGACAAAGGCAATGCCATCACACGTCTGTCCCTTGAAAAGGACATCCAATTTAGAGTGTACTGAGGTGTGCAAAAATGCTGTGCAAGAGATGAATCTTTGTAACCAGACTTCTAGTATCTCAGAAGCTTGCTCTGAAACAGGTGAACAAACAGCTGCTGCAGCTACAGAATCAAATGATCTCCATTTTGCGAAAATAGGGAACAATACTAACAGGGTGGGACAAGACTGCACTAACTTGCAAGATGCTGCTCTTTTGTTTAAGAAAGCTGAGGAAATAGTGGACTCAGTTTTACACTTGGCTATAGAGGAAATAATAGCAAAACAAGCTGTTGGTGTCTGCCAAGTCTGTGGGAGAAAGGATAGTTTAGTAAATACAGATATTCTAAATGATCAGAAAACTGTAACTGCGCAGCTGGAAGCAGAAGAAATCCAGTCAGCTGTGCATTCATTAGAACATTTTAATGAGAGCAGTGGAGGAGGCTCATTTTCATTTACAGGAAATGAAATGCACGATACAAATAATCAAGATGAAACGATACCATCTTACATCCCTGCTAAAATTGACCTACATAGTGTACTGGCATTAAAAGCGAGAGAAATAATTGATGAAGTTATTAACTCAGCCAAACAAAAACTGACATCCAATCAGTGGCAAGGCAGGGAGAGTGAAAAGCATTCTGAAAACATTGAGTGTAAACTTAAAGCTGAAAACCCAAAGGTTTTAAATCTGGATGGTAATTTATCTTCTAAAACACAGGAACTAATCAGAGAACCAGCAGGGAAGGCAGAAACTCAGAATATAAGTATAAACTGTGAAAAGGCAGTTTGCTCAGGTCTTCCTTTGCTTTCAAATGGTACGGAAAACAGCATAGATTGGCTCCAAAGAGATGAAGATATACCAAATAATGCATTTGCATGTCAAACAAATGGATTTCTATCTGCTGGTAGTTCAGTGAGGCCAGAATCAACCCCTATGATACCAGCAAAAGAGGAACATGATAAAAAGGTGCATGAACATCTGGCTGCAGCAGAGATGTGCAGTAAAGCTGGATTATCAGCAACAAGTAGAAAATCTGATGTGTCTTTACATTTATTAAATAAAGATGCAGCTGCTACTGAAGAAATATTTCTGCCATTGCAGTTAAGTGATTCATGCAATAATGCAGATATGCCAGAGCTCATGTTGCTGCCATCTGTAAATGGTAATTTGTCATCTCTTATGCCTGATGAAGAAAGTATCAGCTCACAAAGGGAAAACAGAGTCAAAACGAGTCCTCAGAGTTCTGTGGAAAGCAGTGCAGAGGGTAATCTGGATGAACACAGTGGAAGAGAGGCTGCAGAAATGTTTTCACAAGTAAAAGCAGCCTTAGAAGATTCAAAGGTAGGGGAGAGCGAAGAGGAACCTGCAAAGGGAGCAAGCGAGACACTTGTCAATATTGAGTTAAATGCACAGTTCATTGACTCTGAATTGCCTGCTACTGGAGAGCACAATGAAGGGGAAAACTACTTCAACTCAGTTTATGCCCGAAGTAAAAAGAATCTGAAAGAGGTGCAAATGAAGGATTCAGATGTGCAGAGAAATGATCAGCTTGAAGAAAATGGTCTGGACTGTAGGAATGACATGAAGGAATCGACAGATCTTTTAGGCTTTTCTCCACTAATTGAGCAGTGGGAAAATAGTTCTTTTACAATTGTTTATGAAGGTGCCCTTCAAACTGAGAACAGATCTGTCTCTACTGATGATATACAGACTAGCTCGCTTTCTCCTTCTGATCTGCCTTTGGATAGTGTAGGTCATCTAATGTGTGAAAGAGCAAAAAATAAAAATGAGCCCACCTGTTTTTATGGAAAGGATAACAAGTTGAATAAAGCCACAGAGGGCAATAGCTCAGAGTCATTTCTGAGTGTGGAGGCCAAACGCTATAGAATATATCCTTTCTCTTTGTCTCCAATATATGAAGACGACAGCTCCCATGAAGACTTGCTGTCTGCAGACATGTCACCAGAAGGCCATCCTAATGGAGTATCTAAAGATAACTCTGACCATACTTCTGTGCTTTCCCTTCTTCAATCAGTTTCTGAGCGCCTACAGTTGACTACTCAATTCAGTAAAGAGGAAGATGAGGAGGGAATGGAGGATGAGGATGAGGACCAGTCATCGTATGAAGGAAATGTTCTTGATGTTGAGAGAGAAGAAGAAGAATGTCTTTCCAGTCAGTGGGCAAGGAATCGAACAAGAACTGTTCTGTCAAATGACCAAAATACATATCCATTACTTGAACAATCACCTTTTCTTTCAAAAGAGCGATTTGACTCTAAGGAGCAAATGGAACAGTTTCAAGGTGAGACTTCTCCTGGGCAAACGTACTGCAATCCAGTTTCACAGAAAGCTGATACTACTCTAAAGCACCCTCCTACAAGTGCATATTATCAGTACTTGAGATCTGCCAACAATTACTCCTCTGAGAAGGGAACAAGATTTGGAAGCATTCTCCAGGATATATTGCAGCCAAAGATTCGTTGGTCCCAAGATCATGCCATGCTCAATCTGGGAGAATTACCAGTGGTAAGATGTCACATCACTTAAAGTTAATAACCAAAATGGTTAGCCCCAGTTCAAAATTTCTGTTTTGCCACATCTGTTTTCAGCCCCTTCCCTTCCTAGGTTAATTAGAGTGTTTAAGATCATAGATTAAAAAAAAAAAAAGTCTTCTGATAGAACAATTGAAAATTATATATATTTTTTTTGTTTCACACAGGTGAAAGATAGATGAAAGCAGTTTCTAATTGTAAAAGAGGAGATGTGAACAGAAAATGTAATGAAAAAGTATGCCTAATGGCAAGTCTGTAAAATAGGAAGCAGCTTCACTATGCGAGGACATTTCAATCTGAAAATCGTGACATTGTCTTTTGTATGAACATTGTTCTTTCACTTCGTCCACTTTTAAGATTAGTAGAGCTGTATTTTCAAAAATATATAATTATCTGCTTAAGGGATTATTTTATTCTTTCACTGCAAAATCTTACTTAAATTGTAGGTTGGTTAATGAGTAATACAGCCGCTTCTTGTTAGTGTTCCCTTTTTAAGTGTATTTAAAGCAATGCAGATGAAGGTATGGAAACATTTCTTGTAATGTTTAGAAACTGGGAAATCCACATAAACCAAATGTGCAAATGAAGAAGCAGGTCTTCTGGCGTTGGGAATGCTTCATTTTGTGATGGGATCTGATTTGGCTTTGCCACTGTTAAGACGTGCAGTCTTTCTGTGCTTTCTATGCTTTGTGCTAATGTTGTGGATGTTTCTAGTTGTTTTTCACGTCTTTTTAATTTCAGAATCTTGTTGACCGGGCAAGTCTCACATACAATCCAAGACCAGGAAAAGTAAGTAGAATTGGGATGTTACATGATTCAAAGTGATATACTATGATATACAAAACAATTTGTTATACCAGATTTTTTTAATGGGAAGTGTCTGACATTATTTTGGCTTTCTGTATTTTACTGTAACATCTGCTTGCACGTGCTAAACATAGGATTGTATGGTAAAAATACTGCCACTAGTAATCCTACCATATTTCCTTGTCTGCTACTGCTGTTTTATTTCTATAGGGTGCTTCATAAAACAGTGGGCACAAAATGGGTGGTTTTTATTCCATGCAAAAATTAACTGTCTGTGTTGTATTTTAAAATGAGCCTTCATTCATATGTGTTGTGTGTTGTTTCAGATTATTATTTATGATATTCATGGTGACAAAAGTAAACAAGAAATTCATTCTGATGTGCTAGATGCCACATCCTGGATCTTTCCCATTGGAGCATTACTTAGGATAATTAGAGGATGGTAAGAAATCCAGGTCATATTTAAACAGAATCTTTTCAAAAGATTGCACGTGTGTTTTTTCTTATGTTTTTGTTTCTTTATGACACACATCTGATCTGCAAGAATGTCTTTTTCTTTCTTTATAATCAGACTTCATACCAGTGAAATAAGCATAAAACAAGGCTTCACATGCTGCAGTACAAAAATATTGTTCCTCCTGGGAACTAACTTCAAACAGAAAGTTCCTAATAGAACCACAAGTAAGTTTAGACTTCTTGCTTACTGAGACAGTAAAGCAATAATCATCACTGAAGCACATGTATGCCAAAGAAAAGATTTTTTTTTTTTCAGTTTAATTTCATTATAGAGTAGCTGTTGCAAAAGGACCATACAACATAGCGATTCAACTACTGCTTGTAATGTAGCATGTAAAAGATTGTGGATGCAGAAAGATATAGCATTGCCTTAACGGTAGATTTGGCAACTGTCCACTTGTAAAACCGTAGTTCAAAATGAAGTAATAGTTTTACCTTGGAAAGCTGAGTACATTACCATGTCAGCTGTTGCTTTGAAATTTATTTGGTGGTACATACAGTGTATGTTTGACTCTTGGCTGTAATAATGTATATAGCATTTATACAGTTTTGAGACATATTTGATTTTGCATTTCTTTCATGTTCTAATGAAACACTGAATGCCATTATGTGTGTGTGTGTGTGTGTATGTATGTGTTTTATGCCTTATGTAGTACTTGAACAGAACATCCTTTGATATGTCAACTTGTGTTTGTTCTAGTAAAATAAGGCTTTTTATTTACATGGTTATTGAATTGTATTTTTATACACATCATATGTTAATGTTAGTCTACCTTCTAGAGGAAAAGAATTATATACTTTACTTAAAGCACATAAATGAAGCATTACATATCATAAATAAATGTGACTACTGAAGGAGGATGTACAAAAGGGCTGATAATTTGTATCATAGAAACAGCTTAGTAATAAGCTTTCCAGTAAATGTGCCGTGTAAGGACAGTCTTAGCAAATAGCAACAACTCAGTTCATTATTTCATTATTACAGTTGGATTTTCTATGAGAAACCGAAATTCCAGGGTCAGAAATACGTACTAGAAGAAGGAGAGACTGTGCTGGATCACCTTTGGGATCTTCCAGGTGTGAAACATCATCGAAGAAACCTCACAGTGGGTTCAATCAAACATGTAACAAAGGTATAGACTTTATTAACAATATAGGCACGTACATAATAAATTTCTGTTGTCAGCAGTGATGTATTACTAACAATGGACAATGTGTCTATGCTGTGTTACAGATTTTTATTCAAATTTGTTGTGAAACACATTTTTCACTTTCAACATAAATCCCAGGGCTTTAGTTGCTGAGTGTTTACTCTGTGCTATTAGCTTTTGCACTAAATTTATTTTCTTCCTGAGTGTAATGAGCAGGTATAGAGTATCTTTTTTTACCACTACCTTTATCTGATTCAGCAACTTTTAGTTGTTTACCCATTCAGTTAATTGAAATTAAATGAAATCAGTTCATATTTTTTTAAATAAGTGCTTATCTTAAGTTTAAACTACCTACTGTGTGTGTATGGTTTCTCTTTTGGACATTAGCAATTGGGATTCCCATCCCGTTTGTACAGCATAGCCTTCAGAAATTTTCACTGCCTCCACCATGTGGATAGGTGGTACACCTAACAGCATCTAGCTGTGTGTACAGCCAGCAGTTTGAAGGGCATTTTGTTTAAAAGATGGGAATCAAATGTCTAAAACAAAATACAATGCAACCATTATTATTCAGTGAACGAGGAATACATTTACCAGATCTTGTGATTTAAGAAGAATTAGTGCTCCTTTTGTTTAGCGTAACATTCCATTTCTTCACTGTGCAACGGTCCTTTATTGTGACTGAATTATCATTTGTATCACAATATGAAAGCATTTCAGAAAAAGTGCTATTTCTCTGTTCTCTGCTGGTATACAAGTCATTTTAAAATTGATGACCTTTTTGTCATCAGTATACAGCAGCATAATGTCATAATAACAAGTAGAAGTACTTCTTCATTCTCTTAAAGCCTTAAAAATACATAAACTCAGAAGGAGCTGGCTGAGGGCACGAACAGTGAAGTTAATTTGTTTAGCTTAAGTAAACGTTAAAAGCATTTGACTAAATGGGATTCGAATAATGATTGATAATGTGGAAGATAGCTAAATAATGGAAGAAATCCAGTAATGATGTTTAGAGCCGTGGTCTGATACATAGGGAAGCCTGGTGTATTTTGGGTATGTAAGAAAGCCCTTGCAAAGAGAGACATTGGTGTTAGTTCCATCTTGCTAGATAAAAATATCTGTAGTAGAGCTAAGTATGCTGAGTATTGTTCTTCTTCCAGTATGTTTTTCATTTGTATGCAACACAGATGGAAAGCTTCCTTACGGTGTCCTGTTTTAATAATCAGAACTATTTCTCATGTCACCTAAATGTCCAATAGGTTGTTTGGGTGGACTAATTTAGAAGTACCTAATGGTGTATGCAACTACTGTGGGTATAGATTTCACTGACCGAGGTTTTATTCTCTAAGCCTCAATTTGCGAATTCTCCTTTTTTGAGGTTATACGACAGCTACTGTGGAACTTGTTTTAAAAGGTAGTTTACCACTGTACAACTCTTTTAAATTTATTTTTTGTGAAAAATATAGGCTTTGGTTTTCAATGACAGATAAACTGTTTGTCTTTTTGACAGCTTAGGTAGGTGATCAGCAAGATCGCGTGTTTTACTGTCATTCTCCATAGCCTAAGTAGCCCAATAACTTTTCTCCTGCCAGGTTGGATCGTACTGGCTGTATGTCTAGGCTATCTGGCTTGTCTTCTGATTCTTCTGGTGGCTTTTTTATGGTAAATGTTTAGGGGCTGTTCAGATGCCTAGAGGTAGCAGATTTGAGAAGGACATGACTTACAAAGAATAGAAAAACTATATAAATAGATGTTTACTAAAGAAACTGTAGGAGGAACGCTTAATTTTTTTTTTAATTTTTTTTTTTTTAAACTGGCAGAGATTGTGCTCAGAAACAATACAACAGTAACTTTGTGCTCTGATTTGGCTTCAAGCATCCAGAAAAAGCAAAGATTCTGTTAACTTTGTGATTAGCCTGTGACTTGACTTACTGTGGACATGACCTAGGTAAATCCACATGTGTTAAATCTGAATCAGCTTGCCAGGAGGGGAGGATGAAGATCCCAAAGTAACATGCAACTAATGAAACAAAGCCCTCTTTGAAGTAATGAGGAGTTTTAATTCCACTAAGGCAAATGAACATGGGCCTAAGCAAGTGAAATCTACCTGCACGTACCAGTTTGTTGCAGCTCCTTCAGTACAATCCATTTAGCCAAATCAGTTCCTCTGGTCTACTGCAAATACATTGATCTTGTGTAATCAGGAGCCTCTTTTTCAATCTGTTTCTGAAAGCCTGAGGAGGGTGCAAAGGGTTGCTTTCCCAAAAACCAACCCAAAAACCAAAATGTGAGAAGAGATGTTCGTGTTTCCATTCTGGAGTCATCCAGTAAACCACTGTTATACATGGTGACAAGAGATCTTTAACAGCAGTTTGTAATCTCTGTCTGCAAGATGGCTAAGTAGAGAATGGATTCCTTGTGGACTTACCTTAAGCAAAGCTCTTTGTAATGGAAATGCACACAATATTATATGAAGGCTTGTTTTGTTTGCGTGGTTTGCTGGAAGAAAAGAAGATATTAATTTGAACAGGGACTACATTGTCAAATGCCACAACCCAGTAGTTTTGGTGGTGGTGTAGACATTAATTGTTTTAATATTTTGTTTTACCTCTAGCCATGATAAATTCTGAAGCTTGGTTTTGTGATTATGTGGAATAGCAAGAGAGATACAAAGCAGGAAAACTGGAAGAAAGAATTTTGAATGGATAAAAAAATCTGAAGAACTGACAGAATAAGGATTAAAAGAAAAAAAGAATGCTACAGAAGCTGGCACATCCTAAGGTCAAACTGTGCATTAACAGTAAATGCTTGTCTAGACTGTATTAAAAAGCAACAGTGTGAGCACCAGAACTAATTAGGCCCGGTTTTCAATAGACTCTTCTCTCATCATTGTCTTTACTCTTAGCTTGAAAAGCTAGGCTTTAGTCATGCTTTGTCCTGGTGTTGACATAAAAGGCTACTGTCATTTAAGTAGGCTATTTTGATTATTTCAATCACCAAAATATACAGCTTCAAGGAGAAGGCTTAACAGTGCTAAAAAGTACTTAGCCCTGCTGGTGCTGTTAGTGCTGAAACCTAGATCCAAAAGAAGGGTGAGTAGCCAAGATCAAGGTGGCTGAAGGCTCTGGATCCCTCACAGTGGAACTCTGGGACATGCTACAAGAATGCCATCAAAGAAATATTTTATGCTAAGGTCATGAGAGTACTTCATACAGCTCTTCAGAAGAAGGCTTAACCTTTCTTCTAAGAGGAATGTTACTGTTTTGGAAGTGTCTGCATTCTACGAACTGGTTCAAGTAGTCCCCCATGCTCTGTAAGCACTTTGCAGACTGTAGAAGATAGTATTGTTTTTGCTGATTCCTCATCATCTCTGCTCCTAGAAGACCATAAGGGAAGCATGAGTACTCCAGAGTGCCTGTGCAGGCAGGAGGAGAGTACTACAGAGTAAAGGAAGATAGAGTTGAGTGCCTGTAGGCTGAGACTTACCTAAGCATTCACTAGTTGTGTATAATGTAAGACAACTACCCAGAGGAGTCTTAATCTGTTTGCAGTGCTTTTTCTTTTGTTTTTGCCTGATTTGTCAGTAGGATAATGAATAAGGCAAAAGTTTTGACTGCTTGTGGAGTGGGTGGCAGGCTGGGGACAGTAGAAAGGAAACCTTCCAGTTTGGGATCTGTTCTGCAATACTGTGCTAGTAGTTTTGCATATAGCTATCTTATTCTAAAATCTTGACGCCTCAAAAATGAAAGGTGTTTGGACTGAATGCTATCTTAATGTGTGTGGTTCTCATTTTGTTTTGAATGATGATGGCTTTATTATAAAAGTTAAAGAAGCCTCTGAAAGTAATGATGCCTGTTAAGTATGTTCAGGCAAATCTAGACATGCTATGGTAAATATTACCAAGCTAAAGTTTACATGCTTAAATTTTGGAAATTAATGTCATACTACGTGGTGTACATCTGCAAATACATAATGTTTGTTTTACAGCAAGACTAAATTCTGTCATTTTCATCAGCCTGCAAATTGATCTATGTAACTTTAATGTATCTCACTATTTAAGTCAAAATGTGTATTTGTGATTTTTTTTTTTCACGTGCTTGGAAAACATAATGTACTTTTTGCTTGAAGGTGTTATTAACTTAAGAAGTAGATATTGCTTTTGATGAAGATTTCCAGTTTACTTCTTTATGAAGGGGCTTTGTGAACTTAATCTAGTAGATACAAAAATACCATCACAATGAGCAGAGTCTATTTATGGCTGTCAAAACCTGGCTGAAGAGAGAGGTGGTAGTAAATGGGAGAGATCTTATTATGAGTATCCATGCTTTGCCTAGGCTTTGTAGAACTGATAGATTCTTTACCTGTTGAAGTGGAACCTGCCTCATTAGCTTCAATCAGGAAAGAAAACTTGAAAAGAGAATACAGACTGGCTCTTCTAAACTTCAAATGAAAAAATTAATTACCTCATACCAAATGAAAATCAAACATACTGTCTCCTAGTCTGTCTGAGCCCGCAGGCAAAGATACTTTGTTAAGCTACTTGTTTAGTCTTGTAGAGCTAAGAGTTGAGCATTATTATTTGTGGAATTCTTATAGATGCAACTTCTGATTTGGCTTATCAAATTCTGCTGTTGGATTCACAGGTTTCAGCTATATCATCTGACAGGTTTTATTAGGGAAAACAAACTTCAAATATTTCTTACCTGTGATTTAATAAGATTCATATCAATATGAAAACTGCAGGGAGATTGCTTTTTAAACTTGTCTTGTTTTATACTTAGAATTTGAGGTATAATGTTCATTCAGTACTTTTTTATAAAGTAGCATTGCACTAGAAAGTTTTTGTTTCCTAGTCTTTCTGCTTTTACTCATCTATATAAAACTGCAGGTATTGCAGGGTGGTTTTTTGTTTTTCCTGAAAACAAATAGTATTCATTGCTTGCAACAATACAAAGGAAGCACAATTGTGCAAGAAGTTGCCAAAGCAGAATACAGTGACACTTCAGGAAAACAAAATAATAGAAATGCATATATTAGAAATGGCCCATCTGTTGCTGTCAGTTAAATACTTCCTGCAAGAACTTTGACCAAGCGGAGATGTTTTTGTAGCTGGGATATAACTTCTTCATTTGAAAGTTCCACTCAAAGCCCATGTGAAGAGGGAGAGCATGCAGGCATTTTGATGAGCCCCAAGATGAGGCACTGCAACTTTTGTGCCCTGATGCTGACTTTCTCTGCAATCACTTCGTGTTTTGCCTTTTGGGTATTGGAGACACCACAGGCCGTGTGGGATTGTTGTCACGATGTGACCTTGGCTTGTTCTTGAGCAAATCCAGAAACCAAAAAATTGAGATGTGCTGGGGGCAGCATCCTTATTTTCTAGTTTCTTCTCCAGTGCACCTTCAAGGGAAATCTTCATCCAGCTACATTTAGGATTTGCTGGATCTTTTTATCCAAAATCTTTGACATAATGCTAATAGATCCATGGTTCAGAGGGAGAAGCATACTATAAAGTTACCACTGAGAACTGAAGGTTTTCACTTAAAGTTCAGCAAGCTCTGTAAGTACGTGAGCCACTTTTCACTGTCACAGAAAGAGTATTCTGTTATGCACTGCTGAATCAAGACATCATAGAAGATCCAAACTGAATCACGTGTTTGATTGCTGAGAAAGAAAACTATTCACGATAAATTTTATATAAATGTTCTGCAGTTAGTGTGGTTCAATTAAAAAGTCTTTTGAATTCTAGAGCAGATCAGTTGTTCTCCAGTATAGAAAAATATCAGAAGAAAACCTTCAGGAAGGTAACACAGGCTGTTGCTTTGTAGTTACAGAAAGATTGCTGAAGTATCTGCTTTACAAATGCTTTCTACTCTTTCTTTGTCTAAAATGCTATAGATTTTTAATGTGATTGAAACTTGAACTCACACATCTTGAAACCATAGTCAGATGCATAACATCTGACCTAATTACCACCAAGAGTGTATATTGAAGAACAGGAATGAAGTAGTAGACTTCAGGAAGTTTTAGTTATGAGTACATCATCATAAGTATCTAAATGTGTCATATGTAATCACTGTCTTTAAAATAATAATTTAAAAAAGCTACAGTATCATACGTATGGTTTGTCTATCAGTAAATAATGTCAGTTCCTTTACTTGGACAGCATTGAAACCGAGCTTTTGGAAAGTAGCCTAGGCATAAATGTATAAGTGTCTATTGAGTGGGAGCTGGAAATATACTTCCTTCAGATTTTCTAAAAATCCCAATTTTCACTTTAAAAAGAAAACAACAAAACAAACATCTTTTATCATATAAGGCCTGGCTAAAAGGATGAAAAAATAGGAAAAAGGAAAGATTTACTTTTCCCTTTTCCCCTTCCCCCTAATGGGGCAGACATTCCAAGCATGGATAACTCTTAGCATTTGATTTGTTTCTGTAGGACTGCAGTGTTCCGGAGATTGAATTCAGCGTGGGAGCCAGTACAGAGGGACTTCCTATCTGCATACAAAGTGCAGTTGCCAATTTAGAAGAACTGGATGTTGAAAAAAACCCATATATACGTGTCAAATCAGGAATGTGAGTACTGAACTTTTTTTAGTGCAGTTTGCCAGCAGGTAGAATATCATGAGATGAAAGTCAGTAATAGGAAAAGTGCTTTAGGCTTTTGCTATAAATCAGTTAACATAACTATATATTTCCAGCTCTTCTCTTCAACATTGTACTACTAAGTGGTCTTCTAGCAGTGGAAGCAAATTTTCAAAGGATTTTTTCCTCTGATTGCTGGCAGAAGTCCTCTTTAGTTCAGTCCTTGAGTGGCTTTATAAATAGAAGAAGAAGATGCTGCTCAGCTATAATTAGCTTTTAGTTTATTGGAGAATAAATACTGTCTTGCTAGCCGCTCACCCTGCTGTAACTGTAACATCATGGCTGAATACCAAAAGATGAATATTATGTCATACAAATATTCCTCAAGCTACAGCTGTATACAGACTGCATAGATGCAGTATGATACAGGCCCCCTCAGTTGTTCTGTACTGAGCAGAAGTCTGTTTCCTTGGTAAATGGGCAAGACTATGCATTTCCTGAAGTCTGGAAATTCTGTACTACTTCTTTGCAGAATGACATTAGCTGTTCTACTACAAGAGTCTGAGTTTGCCTTTCCACATAAGCCAAACTTTCCTTTCCGTGAACTTGCAATCTATCTGTGAAGCTTGAGCTGATGAAGGAATTAAAAACATTCTTGTTTTAGTTTTGACAGAACTTTGACTGACTGACTGACTATGAACTGCTTGAATCTCTGTGTGTAGTTTTAAGAAAATAGTTGTTCCATACAGCACTATGTCTCTTCTTCCATTCCTTATTTGGTTTACTAACCCCGTGTCTAACTTCTATGCTCAATGTTCTTGATTTCAAGAAGTCTGAAGGAGTCTCAATATTTTTAATCTACATGTCAAAATTAAGTAGCTTGCTTTTATAACAGTATTTTAATAACTTCCACTGAAAAAAATTGGGATTGATGTTAGAAGCATTTTGATTCCTACGGTAACAACCTCAGGAAAAATTTCCTTCTAGTTTCTCATCATAGGATCATAGAATCACCAAGGTTGGAAAAGACCTCCAAGATCTCTGAGTCCAACCATCCACCTGTCACCAGTATTTCCCCACTAAACCATGTCCCTTAGTACTACATCTACATGTTTCTTGAACACCTTTGGCAACAGTGTCTCAACCACCTCCTTGGGCCACCCATTCCAGCACCTGACCACTCTTTCCTAATATCCAAGCTGAACCTCCCATGGTGCAGCTTGAGGCCACTCTCTCTCACCCTGTTGCTACTTACCTGGGAGAAGAGGCTGACCCCATCTCACCACAACCTTCTTTCAGGTAGTTGTAGAAATATATAAGGACTCCAGACTAAACAATTCTAATACTGACACTGATTTTGTATAGTTGTAGTATAACAAACTGGCTTCTTAATGCAAGTGAACAAGTTGGTAATTTTCTCTTCTTTAATTTGGTTAGACTCAGTGAAAGTATCTGAGATCTCCTTAGCACTGATAGTGTAAGTGTATTTAACTATACCTGGTTTTTGAGGCGCTGACAGTTTTCTAAAACACAGAGTTTATCTCTAATAGCTACAAAAAGAAAAATAATTTTAACAAGATCATTGTATCTGTAATGTATCTGATTAGATTAATAAGTCCTTCATCATGATTGTTACAGATGGCTTGCTTATTCAGATTTAAATTACAAGGGAGAGATGAAAATTTTGGAAGAATGCAGTGAACCATCTGAAATTCCTTCAGCAGATGTAAGATCTGTGCGTCCCTTAAAAATGGTGAGGACTTCACAACTCTCTAATAAATAGTGTGCTTGTCTTTTGCTACCGTTGCTGCCTTGGTGATTTTAATTGACGTCCTTTCAGGGTTAATCCTTACACATGTAACACACCTGTTATGTCATGGTGTGTCAATAGTGTTGCAGTGGCATAGTGTTACTTGCTCTCATGAGCTCCTACATCTGCCCCAGTAAGAACATGTCCTTAGAGTGTCTTCCTGGGCAAGTGCTGCTGTGTAGAGTGGAGATCAAATAGGGCAGAACTGAAAGATTTGGAATTGCACTGAAAACCAACACCAATTCAGTAACTAAAAAAGATTGTAAGTTGTTTGTTTGTTTTTTAATAGTGTAGCTAGAATCTTTTGGGCTTGGAAAGCAGTTGAGAGATTTACTGTTGACAAATATTCAGTAGTCTTTCCAAGACCTCACATTGCATAAAAATATTGGGATGGGCAGCTAATTTAAATTTTGGTAGAGAGCATGAATGTCTAATTATGAAAAAAATATCATTTCACTGTATGCAAGTCTAGAAAAAGAGTTTAAAAGCTACAAGTGAATACAACATAATGGCTTGGTAGGGAGGTGTCTAGTTCCCCTGCAGAGTACCATTCGTTAACATTGACAGAGACAGTACATTTGCTGAAGTTACTCTCTTCTACACATGTGAATGTTTTAACCCGTACCTTCTGCCTTCTCAGGCTTATTGTTTGCATTTCATCATTTGTGCTTAAGAGACTTGAAATATATACCACACAACTTTATAAGTTGTTTTTAAAAAATTGGTCAGTGCAAATTAGTTAAAAAACACACGTTGTAAATATTGCTTTTAAGTGCAAATAGACAACAAATTAATATTTTAAAATTGTTTCAACCCCTGCAGGCTAGTCAATGTAATGCTTTTTTTTTTTTTTGGACATGTTTATAGTGTCCCTGGTCTTCATGAATTACCAGAGTATTTAAACTAGTGTTTGATTCATCTGACAGTGAATGTGGTGAATATAACTACTAAAACTTTATGTTCCTATAGTAATCTAAAATGCATGTCAAAGCATAACTTCAAATTTTGTATAAGTACCATATTCCTTTTTTTTTTTTTTTTTTTTTTAGGGTGGATTAAAGGTCCAAATGCCCATGAATGTCAAGGTAAGCACTAAGGAGACAGAACAAAATGTGAACCTGGAAAAATAAAATAAAATTTCTATCTAAACTATTTTTGTTGAATTTGTGATGTTTGATTGAGTCTTCAAAGTTTGCAGGCTGCTGAAAGGAAATTCACTAATACTGTAAAGTCTTCTTTCTTACTCATGTTTTGTGAGATGTTAAAGTAGTCGTAGTTTGGTTTTTACATACTAGAAGACTAGGAATATGCTATAGAAAAATCGTAAAGCTTTTGTAATGTAAAATGAATTTGCCTGAATGACACATTCATCACTATAGTGAAAGGAGGTGGGGAGAGATTTTCCCATTTAATGTATCATGTTTACAAAAATAAATTATGGGAGGGAAGTTAGGATGCTTTCTTCCTCTGTCTGAGTCCAATACAAGAGTAATGGGTGTGACCACAAACCTTCTGTGACTTCTGAACCAGATAGCTATTCCAGAATAATCACTCCTTTTCCCTCCTTTTTCTATTTCTCCACAAAATATTAATGTTTTCGGTAACTTTTAATTACAAGTACGTGCAATATTTAAGATTTTTTGTATTAAATATTATTAATAAATGTTAATGCTATTGATAAGTGTGTGAAATGACTTCAGCAAAGTGCAGAGAAAGACCTCTTGTTTATTTTTAAGGTGTTAGCTCAGTACATCTAGCCATGACAAGGTAGGATTCAGTGCGGGTTGGTTTGTAGTGCCTGAGTACATTATTAAGGATAAATCACAATCATATAATTGCAAAGTGCAATTACCTGTATAGAATTGTGTGAATGAGTAGTCTTTTGTGGAAATACCTGCAAATGTCTTACAAGCCTACCTAAATCCACATACGATCTCTTCAGCTTCTAGAAGAATCAGAAGATTTCAGGAATACAGTGCTGAATTTTCTTAATAGTGGTGGCTTATTGAAGGAGAAAAGAAACTGTCTTCCACATACTGTAGGAGCACACATGCCTAAACTTCAACCTATCGCACGGGGTATACTCAAGGTGTTGTTTGAAATTATGTTTTCTAGATAATAATATATGAGAAAACCCACTTTGGAGGGTGGTCCAAAGAGTTTTCAGAAAATATTAATTCTGTCCTGGCTCTGTTTGGTGATGAAGAGGATTTTCAGGACATTGGATCAATACGTGTCGTTGGTGGCGTGTAAGTGTTTTTTGTGAGTTTTTGTTATTGGGTTATTTTTTGTTTTTTGGGTTTTTCTGTATGTACGTACGTTAAAAAAGGAGAATCTTTCAAACAGATTTAGCGTAACTAAATGCTAAGAAATGCCAATTAAGACATGACTAGAATTTATTTCACCTGTAAAATATTTTGAGAAGAAAGAAATTTACATTTATCAGTTACCAGCCTTGGGTAAAACTATGTTTCAATACATTTTATCTATTTAAGGAAATACAGGAAGATAAAACTTTGAGAGGTGTTTGAAGCCAGTGTTGACTGTTTCGATGCCAGCAAACTGGGCCAATTAGTTCCTTAGTGACAGCATATGCATAAAGCTTTAATTTAGATTGATATATGGTTCTGGTCTCTCTTCAGTTTGACATTTAAATGCCCCTGAAATCTATAAACTGTCTTATTTGTTTATGGTTTTGTCACCTGTTGGATATTGTCTAAAACTGAGAATTCACCCTTACTGTCCTCCTTTGAGGTCTTGGATTGATTATCTTTTGCCTTTCTTCTTGCTTCCTCCTGCTCTCTTGCACTCTCATGAAAAGAGCCAGATGCTTAGGTGAACCACTCAAGAGATAGACAGCTCCAGCTGTTCTAGAAAGCTACTAAACCACACTTTGTTACTTTAGCCTCTCGTAAGACCCGACAATTTAAAGCTGTTTGGAAGCATAAAAGATTGTTGCTTCTACCACAGTTGTTTCTATCAGTAAAATAGTTTTCAGAAGCTTCATTTTTTTTCTTAAGGGGCTTCAATGTTAATACTTCAATGTAAAGATATAATGTATTTAATACACAGGCAGTCATCCGAATCCCACAAGCATTACATTCAAAATAAACGTCATTGTGAATACACAAATTATCTATTCAAATACACTATGTATTAACTGTCTTGGAAGCCTCAAATTATTAAGAATCATCCTTCTGTCTTTGCGGTGTTTGTTGTGGTGACATTTATTTTTAATATTGTGGTAACTTGAACAGATGAATTAACGTAAACCAAATGGTATTATGATTAAAGCTATCCCTGTCTGACAAATTTTGTTGCCAGTGGAATTTGTACAGGAGTTCTAAATACATAAAAGGGCATTTTAATAAAATAAATGTTTGCAAGAAAGAAATAAGGAAGGGGAAGCTTTTTTTCAAACTTACAAAAACGGTGTCAGAATGCCTTATTTTAATCAAGACTTATCTGTTTTGGTTAAAATACTTCTAAGGTTTTTTGTCATAGTACTAAAATGCATTCCATATGCAACATATTGTATATATCCAATTCACTTGTCTATCCATAGATTAGAGCAGGAAGTACTGGGAGTGGATGAAATCTTCCTCTGCTGAAATATCTAAGTTTTAACACAGGGGTAGTATCTCCTCCTTTATGAAAACATGGAAAAGATTTGCACTGGGTTTTTTCACTGGCAGCTGGTAATTTTAGGGTTTTATGGCAGCTCGATGCATTAACCTCTATAGTGCTGAATATTGGTACTGGGGGTATGACTGATTGAGTAGAGATACATCTAGAAACAATACACAAATAAACTGTTATTGGAGAAATAATTACGTGGAAGAATTTGATACACAAAGAACACTTCTTGAAGGCTTGTTGAGATTTCCAACAAGTCTTGCTTTGTTTGTTAGCTGAGGCTATGATATGAGCATTCTTAGGATGTTCTTGTCCTCTTTTATTTGTTATGGAAAATCGTGTATGGTGTTGTTTTGCTTTTAGTTATTTCTCTTTCTTTTGTTATGTGATTGCTTTAGATGGGTTGCCTATGACAGAGAACGTTACAAAGGCCGTCAGTACTTGCTGGAGGAGGGAGATTATGAGGACACACACACATGGGGAGGAACTGGCAGTGTTCTCCTGTCTTTCCGGTTCCTTCAGGCTGTAAGTACTTTTGTGAATTTCACACAAATTATACACAGCTCTATACATAAAGGGGGAGGTTATTTTTCATTTACGATACAGCTGTCTTGTGTTTGGTCATTCTAAGTCATGCCCAACTTCACTGTCAGTCTTTTCCCAGTTGCTGAAATTTAGACTGTACACATTGTATAGCAGAGGCAACTTCTGAGTAGCCCTTTTAAAGTTCATGGGACATGGAATTCCTTGTCCCACTGCAAGATTTTTCCAAGCATCTCACTTCTGCACTTCAAGCCATTCAAATCTCTTGGATGCTTTTCTTAGAGCAGTTTTTTCTTAAAAGTTTAACATCATTAAATGTACGGTGTAGTTGTTTATTAATACCAAAAAATGATTGTTCAACACAGCTGCTGTTGAAAGCCTTAAAACAGTGTTACCTTCTGTCTCTGTAATTTTTGTGCCAGAAAATTTTGGCAATATGAATTACCACAGTGATAAGATCTCTTCTGCTAAAATATGTTGTGCAAGGCAACAATGAAATACTAAAAACTCTGGGTCTGTGAGAGCTCTGGCTCTTCAAATGCAGCTGAGTGCATTTAAAGAGTGGCTCCTTTTGAGAATTAGATTGTTCACTCTGAGATTATCCAGTCTTTCTGATGTGATGTGATGTTCCTGAACCATGAGTTTTGTGAAGATTGAAGACAGGCATTTAAAGCAATGTCACTGCCTCAACATTCATTATTATTTTGCAGCAGGAGTGGGGGAGGAGTTAATGGGAGCCAAAAGCAGCTGTGCTTAAATTCACAACATGCAGGTTTAATTTTTATGAAATTCAATTAATTCAAAGAAGTCAATGAATTGAAGAAAAATGTTCTCCTCTGAATAATTTATTTTTCAGATTTGGCAGGAATTCACTTCTAACTGCTTTAAATGGGCGTAATCCTATTCAGTTAATGACTGATCTTAGTTATTTCAAGCTATGTATAATGTATTTGAGTAACTTGAATTAATATTTTAAAATCTGTCAAGCAAATCACATATGTACTGATTTAAAATTGTGCACATGTTTAGCAGGGATGATGTTCTGTGTTTATGCATGTATATGCAACTGTATGTGCCACAATCATATGCAGTATGTAGTTTCAACAAGAGGAACTGCAGCTGGCACAGGAAGACCTTGGATCTCTGGGTGCGGGTTTGGCTGCCACAATGTAAGAAGGACAAAAAACTGTTAGTAGGATCCAAAGGAGGGATAAAAAGTTGTTCAACGATCTGGAAAGCAAGGCATAATAGGAGCGGTGGAGGTCCCCTGGGCTGCCCAGAGCAGAGGCAGCTGCAACCCCTCATGGGGGAAGCAGAGGGGCAGTGCTGAGCTCTGCTCTCTGTGACAGAGACGGGCCCGAGGGAACAGCATGGAGCTGTGTCAGGGGAGGGGCAGCTGGGGGTTAGGGACATGTGCTGCCCCAGAGGGCAGTGGGCATGGAGCGGGCTGCCCAGAGCAGTGGGCATGGCCCCAGGTGTTAGAGTTCAGGGGGCGTTTGGAAACATAGGGTTTGAATTTTTGGTGGTCCTGTGTGGGCCCAAGAGTCAGACTTGATGATCATCATAGATTCTTTCCAACTTAGGATTTTCAGCAATTCTGTGATTTTAATTTGATTCGAGCCTACAGTAGGCAAGGTACTCAAGTCCTTAGCATTTTAAAAATGTGTCATTCATATTCGACTATCAACATATATTATTCAAATTGACATGTAAATGTATATCAATATATACTTCTGCTATTAAAACTTCTCCTCATAATGTAAAGAGATAAGCTAGTTTGTGTCTGGAATTAAAATCACTGATAACAGTGGTGTTTTGTTAGGCTTGACCAACAGATTGACTGCCACTCTCTGATGCACAGTACGTAGGCCAGTGTTAAGGCATGCCATATTCTCTCTTTGTGACTTTCTACATGATTTAAGGTCAGGAGCTTAAAAACATTTCAGTGCCAAACTCTTGTTTTCAAGAGTTTGGGCAAAAATGCAAAACCAGCTGTCTGTGCATCAGGCCCCTTGCTAAATAGGGAGCGTATGAGCTTGTTGCCATCGTCTCACCAATGCTGTGAGGAAGAATACAGTAATGGCTGTAATAGTCTCAGACTAAGTAGGATTGTTCCCAGATACCAGATTCTTTATTCCTCTTCCCTGAAAATTCTTTTTTAGTCAGGTGGATTCAAGAGTTTCTGCAGATGAAGGAATTGGTGAAATGTAGCTGTATTGAGTTATTTATGGTCAGCTTGTACAGGGAGAGGGGAGACTGATCCCTGCTCCATTCAGATACTCAGCAGTGCCACCTCTAGCTGTACTGGTCCCTGCATAATATTTTAACTCAGACGTGACACCAGATGACCTTGACATTGTTGACTTTAAGGCCAGCCCAAGCCTGAAAACAATTTAGCCTGCCTTGCACAGCAGAATCCCAAGCTAATAAGCCCTGCTTACCTGAGTCAGCTGCAGGCAGAGTCTGATCAAACATCTCTGAGCAGGAAGCATGGTGCAGGAGCACGTAAGTGACTCTGCAGAACTGGACTGAGTGCAGTATACCTCATTAGCCTGTGTCAGTGCCGAATGTCAAATGTCGCTGTGCAAAGCTCTTCAAGTGTTTCACTGCCACTGTGCTCGCCATGGTGGGTTTACTGAGAGCTTATTAGCACCAGGAATATTCAAGCCATGTTTCTGCATACACAACTATTGCAGTGGAGCTGAGGCATGAGTTTTATCTCCTGAGAAATCAGAAAGTTTTCTTCATCACTCACAAAGCAGAGATTGTGAAGGTAACCCCTCTCCATTCACTGTTAAAGACGCGCATGCATGTAGGTATGCTGCAAGATATTTCAGGTTTTGTCTATCTGAAATATTTCTGCTACAAACTGCTACAGGCTCTCATGTAGGGATTCAGAGAGTATTTTGAAAGAGAGAAAGGTCACGTAGAGTTTTATTTTCTAGCATGCTGGCAGCTCTCTTATCAGCAGCTACGTTGGACTTACTAGAGTCAAATGCAGGACAAGTTCCTGAGGGAGGGCAGCAGCTTGTACTGTATACTGATCTGGTGGACTGGTCATGTTTGCTGTTTTCTGCAGAGTCAAGTGAGAGGAATCTGTGAAGCTAGAGTTTGTTCGTGTTTGTCATGATCAGAGAAAGACCAATTTCTGAATCTCTTATAGTGCAGCAGAGTACTTTCCCACTGATGTTTTCAGATTTAAAATTAGCCTTGTCTTCAAAGTTCATTTTTAAGTATTTCATATTGTTTACTATACAAGAAACTGCAGTGAAAATTGTAAGGAAAAAGTCATGACTGTATTTAAAACATGTTTTAAATTAAAATTTTGGATATATTTTCACTATTTAAAATTTAAAGAAATTAAGTGCAGATTTGAACTCAATGGCTTTTCAGGAACTCATAAAATTCTTGCTTTGGGGCTGTTAAGTTAGCTGTTTCTCATTGTCACTAAAACTGCACTAATATTTTTTCTTTTTTCTATGTAGTAGTCTGAAACTGCAGTTGATTATTTTACCAGACGTTGTACTTGAATTTCTAGTGCACTCTTGAAGTAGCTGCAACTTCTTAAATAAGTGGAAAAAGTAGATGGTCAACACAGAAGGAAAGCCAGTTTTACTACAGAATTTGCTGCATCACTTTTTAATATCCTGTAAACAATGCAGAGCTTGACACATTAAATGTTTGTTCTAAAATTGGTTTTGATTATGACTGAATCCTGTGTACAAGGACAGTCTCCTTTAAAGAGCCTTTTCCATCTGGCTGTGTGCTTGGTCTGGCCTTAATTTTTAAGTGCTTTTTTTGATTCTTGTAAGGCTAGTTTTCTCAGTGTAGCCTTCAGCATAGTGATCTGAGGGCTGTAGGTTAATTGCTACATCAAAAAGTATTTAATGGAATAATTCCTGTGTGATGTCTTCGTATATTTGTGAATCTGTTGCTACTGTATTTGCTTAACAGTTTGCAAAACATTCTAATTTGTGACTCATTACAACATTCAGAATGTTTCAGAAACACTGACATTGAACTGAGTTCATGCTTTGGATAAAAGTTTAAAGAAGGAGGGTGAATGGTTTGTTGTTTTCCATGTTTCCAAACAGTGACTGAACTGTGTTCTTAAAATTGCTAAGTATTTAAAAAGTTGGATATTTGAAGCTCAATTTTAATTAAAGTCGTCCAAGTAATCTGGCTAAGCAAAGCAATGTGACACAGCTATATAAGGCAGAATATAACAGTACGGTCTGAGATTTATTTTATCGCTATAGAGTGCGTTCAGTCACACAGTACACATCTCCAAAAGCTACAAACCCTTTTTGCTGAAAAAATGATCTACGATTGCCCACGTCTTGCTTTTACTCTCCTTGATTATTGCCTTGTCCCTGGGAAGGGAAAAGGTAGGAAAACTTGATTTAAAAGTCTGTAGTCATGGCAGTGCTTGGAGTAGTCATTTGTGAAGCTGTTGGAAGACAAATGCTCACTCTCACCATTCTCATTCACAAGCAGGCAGTTTTGCACTCTGTTTTTCTCATAAAGAGAAGGGTGGTACACAAGAGGCAGCAAGTTCTTCCTCTCTACGGGGGAAACAAATGAAGAACGTATAAGATTGACAAGCATCCAGCTAGGTTCTTCAATGCCAAAGTCTCCCTTAAAGATCTTCACAAGAGACCTAAGCCTTTTCATTTTTTTTTAAAGGACTATCCTTCAGTGTGCAGCTCTTGGACAAAATGTTTTATGTAGTGAAGTAGCACTCAGCTGTGGCATCCAATCTTCTAACTCATATGCTGCCTCTTAGGATTTCATAGAGTCATCAGTGGCACTTTTTCAGTCCGATGATGAAGACGGGAAAGCATTGGACATCATCAATGAAGAAATTCCTGATTTGGAACAGACTGGATTTGGCCCAGAAACAGGATCGATTCTTGTGAAAAGTGGAGTGTAAGTCTACTGAAATACATGACTGGAAGTATTATGTACTTTTTTACCCAGCTGTTTTCAGATAATATTTGGAGAGGAGGTACTTTACATGGAACAGGTGGTAAATGGTTGGAGGACAACAGTGTTTATTTTTGTTTCCTTGGTAAATGAAAAAATATCTTAATGTTTTCTCTAGAACTTATGCCTGCACCTTGATTTGGATCTGTGCACTCTAGTTAGTACAGAAAGCTTGTGAGGTCCCTCCAGAAATCACATAGACTGTAGTTCATAATACAAACTTTGGTAGTAATGTAGAGTGTTGTGGTACAGAAGTGAGATTTTAGGTATGTTAAGAACTGGAATACCTTGTGGGGACAAATGGAGCCTGTACAGAAAAGATGTGCTGTGCCTTAATCATAATAAAGTCAGGCCACGGACACTGAAAATTGAAACCCTCTTTAGAGAATGATTTAAACTAAAAGCTAGCGGCTAAAGCATGTGCTGAAGAGTACATGGTCCAAACTGATTAAATCCACATGATGGACTTCATTGATGTTCCATATGCCTATGTGAAGTTCAGGAGGAAAGTAAACAGTACAACTGCAATAAATAAGGAAGGTAAATAACTTGGCAGGCATATGCAGTTTTAAGTGATGAAGCAAGGACATAACTTACAAGTGCCAGAAGCATAAAAACTAGTACAGAGAGAACTGGAATACTTGGCATCAAATGACAACTCTGATATAGCAAACCACAGAGGTTGGGATGAAGGATAAGCCAAGCAGTGTTGCAAGGCTACCAACTACTGGCCAGTGTGCATACCTCATGGTTGGAAACAGCCCATTGTGTACAGGTCTGATGTATTGCCAACATAACTTCATCTCAAAAAATGGCTTAAAAGGGGCTCCCTGGGACCTATACATTAATGGATCTGCCTTGTCGCAGTAGAATGGCAAAATCTATAAGATCGTGGAATACATGGATAATCACAGTCTGAAGGGAAGGAATCACTGTGGCTTCTGTGAATGGAATTGCTGCCTCGCTAAATCTGGTATTCTGTGAGAAAGTTGATATGCACATGAATTAAAGGCAGTCCTGTGGACACGGTACTATAAAAATAATAATAGTAAAAGCCTTTGACAGAATGGTGCATAGTTTATTGGAGAAATAAGGCTGCATGGAATTGGAAGAAAAGTTCTGTTAGGAACTGAAAGCTGGCTCATATGTAGGAAGTGAAGAGTCTTAATAGAGAAGAATCACCAGTTTCTCAGGCATTGTGATAAATCTGCTTTTATTCAATCAGTATAGTCAGTATTTTTATTCAGGAAAACTTAGTAATCTGGGAGCAGGAAGCGAACAAGACTCTTCAAATCTACAGATGATACCAGCTTCTTCATGGCATGTTAAAAAAGCCATGTTAATTATGAGAATCTCCAGTTGGTCCTCACAAAATTGAGCAGCCAAAGAGATGGCAGGTATAAAAATATATAGTAATACACACAGGGGAAAGTAATCTAAGACATAACTAAATGGTGCTAAATGTACAAGATGCTAAATGGACTACAAAAGGAGATGCCCTCTAATATCCTTAACAGTTCTAGAAGAACAGTCCTTGGTTCCAGGGGACTAAGAAAAGAATGGACCAAGGCAAGTGGCCAGGTCCAAGTAGCATCTCCCTAACTAGCTTCTGCCTACTTAGGCAGCTGACAAAGCATGCTTAGGGCTAGACACACCATTGATCAGTTCCTTCTTAAATTACAGCAGGATTAGCAAAGCATGAAAAGTTCAAACAGGCAACTGTGGAAAATTTTTGCTTTATCTCATCCTGTCAAGACTTCCTCATTTATTTTCTTTCTTCTTATACCATTTTTCTTAATTCCAATTGGAAAAGTTGGAAGAAAGTTCTGTCTTGTGGTGATGGTGAACAAGTTAAGATTGACCTGAGAGAGATTCAAGAAATAATTAATCAAGTATCTTTCCTCTTGGCTTCTAAGCAGAGTGTCCAAGTAGTGTTTGTAAAGTAAAAACAGTAAATCAAGTGTGTGACAATTAAATGCCTCAAATCAAATTTGACGTTTCACTGTCAGATGAACTTGTCAAGAAAAACTCCAAAGAAAATTGTTGATATTTTTGTCAAACTATCCATGAAAATGTTATGTTTGCTCTTTATTTTTCTGCCGTTCTTCAGGTGGGTTGCATATCAGCAGAAACATTTCTGTGGAGAACAGTATGTATTGGAGAAAGGAAAATATAAATGTTTCTTTGACTGGGGAGGATCCAGTAAAATCATTATGTCGATTCGACCTATTAAGTTGGTGAGTTACTAGAGATTGTTAAGGGAAAAACTTAAAAGAAAGCAGACTTTTGAGTTTAAAGTCTACAATAGTTTTATAATATGTATTTCTGTAATAGTTTTATTACCAATTTGTCTGCTTTATTTGAAACAAATTAAAGGCTCTTGTGGATGACATACCGTAACTCTGTACAAGATAGATACTGAACCTTGTCTTTCTGAAATAGACACTTTGGATCTTTCTTTCTTTAATGATAAAATTGATGGGGAAACTTAGTGAGAACTTCCCTTTGTCAGGCTGCGTTCATGGAACAATAACTTGGCCTGGAAAGATTGATTTTTGCCTCACTGATAAATACTTGAGCATTTGTGTATCAGTTTTCTAGCCCATATTATGTAGCTGTGGGGTTTTTTTTTATATTTTCATACTAAAATATTCGTAAGGCATATGGTGACTAAAAACAGAGAATAGTTTTAATCCATTTTTAAATCCAAGGTAGTAACTTGACCAAATAGATAATCATCCTAATGGAAAGCAAAGCAAATTCTCAGTAATAAGTATATAATAAATATTATTGCACTGAAAACTGGAAAGGTACAAACATTAAGCCTTATTTTGAAGAGCATATTTTGAAAAAAAAAATTGTCCCAATATTACTTTGAATTTTGTATTTTTTCAAGAAATATACTTAAATCCAAATATATTTACACTGACTCTATTCCATATTACATGAACTAATTTATTAGTTACATGAACTAAAGATGCAATTTTTCCATGGAGAAAAGGACTGAACAACCAGGCACCTATAACGAGCTTATAGGCTTCTGATGGCAGAGGTGGTGAAAAGAGAATTTTGCCAAGAACATGGGAACTATGTGCATCTCTGCTCTTGAATTTGTAGTTTACAAATTTCAGGAACTTGACATGCCTTCTTGGAAACTAATTGTAATTCATTTCATTATTATTATTTATTTTATTATTCATTTATTTGTTCATATGCTTATATATATTTATTATTGCAGGAACCACTTGGAACGAATGAGCCTCCACATTTGGTATGTTGACATTTTATAACAGTCTCTAGTACTAAACCACATTTAATAATTAAACACAGGTAATGCTGAATTTCTTGCTTCATTTCTTCAGATGAATATCTCAGTATTGTCATCTCCGTACATTAAAGAATAACTTGAGGAAGCTGGTAGATGTGTAAAGGCTATGTTTGCCAATCTTCTGTTCTTATTTTTATTCCAGTTCACACCTTTTAGTATTCTGTCCCCAAAAAATGCAAGCAGCACAGTAGACTAGGGTAAATTTGTATCTTTCTGGCCAGCTATTTTCCTATTATTTTCTTTTTTTTTTTTCTTTTTCCTGGAAACTTGATATCACATATATTTGTCCTTGTGTTTGTGGCATGTGTTCTTTCCATTATTTTGCATTCTGTCTCGTTTGTCGTTATGTTGCCTTATGTATGAGGTGAAGAACAATGAAGTATAAACTGCAGAAAATTGAACTGCATGCTTCAAACTTGTAGGTCTATTGAGAGGAAAGCTGGAATTTCATGATTATAACAAATCCAAGATATATTTCTTCTGTGACGCGTTCAAACAGTTACATCTACCTTGCTGATAATTGACTTCAGTTTTAAGAAGCAGTAATTTTGAGGATTTGCACTTCTGGTCTTTATCTTAATTCCATTAGCGTACCTTTGTGATTTAAAAACTGCTCTAAATGTTTGTGCTGATCACCAGGCATAGTCTCTATTTCCCACAAGGTTCTGCCCCCAGCAGGGCTCTCCTCATTTCTGGCATTTGTGGTTTTACTTATCCTTTTCTGTCCTGCAGTGGGCTGCTAGCATGGGTGATGATCTGAGTGGCTATATTGCTTTTTCTGTTACGTGCTTTTAATTAAGCAAATTTGGAAAACTGTATTTTGGAAAACTTGATATTTTCCAAGAGAAAGAGAATCTAGAGCTCAGTGGCTGTGTTTCAGAAAACTTAAGTATTTTGTCATCTGGACATAATTTTATTCTCTCTTCCTTGGACGGCTATCATAGCCATAGGCGTGTGGGAAATGCATACATTGTGTTACTTAGCAGGTTGACCGCACCCTTCTTTTTCTCTATGTTCTCTTGTTCAACTATTTTATGATTACCCCAGGACTGCAGGAAATGTTTCTTCTCTGAAGATATAATCGGTGTATTATTTTAGCCTTAAACACTGATTTCCTGCCAGACCTACTTAAGTGGCAGTTTGAGGCCAACGATTTGCGAGTTCATTCACTCTAAGGCCTTGGTAAACGATACCAGGTAAAATAACTGGCTCTAATGAATCTGATGGGATCCAGACAACTGAAGATAAATATAATATATTTATCCTTCTTCAGCTCTTCTACTTTTTCAGCATTTCCCTCCCAGAAAAATTCTTTCAGTGTTTCAGTTTGGTTTTCCAGACCTTTAAGATCAATGCAAACCTTTGAAATTTCAATACATTTTGTTTACAGTCTTTTTAATTTTTCAGTGATATATATGAAACAATTTTAAAAATCTGTGTGTATGATGTAGGATACTCCGAAAGTAATGCCTCCTATTTATTTTCTACAACAGATACAAAGAGCACAGTAACACTATGTGATAGATCAAATTCCCAGCTACAAAACACTATTTTTTCAGCATAGTCACCACCATTAGCTGTGCATTTTCACCAGCAATTCACAAGAGCCTGCATGAGAAATCTGCATGACTTTCTGAAACGTGGCTTGTTGCCATTACTGAAACACACCACCCACCACCTCACTGTGCTCACATCCAGTGCCGCCACAACACCAACATTTGCCTCTGACATTGTGGGCCAACATAATGAAATAGGAGGCATTGCTTTTGGAGCAGCCCATATATGCACGCTTACCTAAAGTTACTGATCTATGTGAGACTGTTTTGCCTGTTGTGTTGTACAATAAAATTCTTAGTTTTGTTTTTAAAAAATACTATCCTGACTTCTCATAGTCCTGGTTATTATAGGATTCCATCTTAAAAGTAAGAAAGAATGTAACTTGTATCATTACAGTGCTTTTAGGAAGGGAAATATTTTCAGTAAATTTTTGTAGGGAAATATTCAATCACTTAGGATGAGTGAAGGGTAGCATTCAGTTAAATATGAACATTTTCCCATTCAAGGTAAATAAATGTTTGCATATATGCAACAGTCTTGTAGTTTGGAAAATGCATGGTGCATATGAGTTGGCAAGTCCTTAAGTATTCTCTTCTCTAAGCCATACAGCATTTGTTTTGAATGATTCCGTATCCATTCTCCCACCATTAATAAACGTAGATCTAAGCTAAGGGAGCTGTTCAATGTCTCGGAGAGTGTTGTCTTCCACTTTTTTAGTTGCTCTTCAGAAAAACAACTGAAGTTTCTTTTAATCTTTTCAGTAACTGCCCTGATCTTCACTTCTGCCAGGATCACTAACAAAGTACATGTAGTGCAAGAATGACTGAAATGGCCGCTTCTAAGTGATTCATTTTATTTATTAGAAGAAAACTTTGTTTTGCCCAGCAAGAACAAACCCCTTTTCATTAGCAGGCTTGCACAGATAACTTAGGTAGCAGAGCGAACTGCTGTGATAACTTGTGTGTATTTTCGGTATTCTGTCTGTTGACTTTATAGGAAGTGAAACCTGATAAAGTTATGCCAGGACCTGATAAAGCATCATTAGCTGAAGTTTAAGAGTAATAACAAATACACAGTTTTTTTCACTGATGAATTGATACTTCATCCTAGCTTTAGTAAAATGAAGACCATCATTCACTCTTAGACATATTCCATATAAAAGTGAGTTACAGACCTTTTTTTGAAATTGTTGCATAGCATACGGCCTATGAAAGAAAGATGGTGTATATACTTTTATAAAGTTTCTTAAGTGCATAGAAAAGAGTACATAATTACAGCTTAAATAGATGCTCTGAAACGTAGCATTGCAATTATATTTACAGAAAAATTAATTACACCTTATCCTTCATATTTTAGCTTATGTGTTTTCTCAAGGCCAGGTTAAGCTTCTCTTGTTCTTTCCAGCAGGAAATGCATTCAGTTCTTTTAAAAATGCAGTCTGAGTTTTTCCATAAAATCATTTGCTAATGCTTATGTTTGGCCTGCTCTCTCTGTACTGGCAAGAACATTTGATTTCTTTTCTTTGACAGGAAGCTAGGCCAATTTGGGACATGATGGGGAAGTCCTGCTTGCAACAGCCATAGCGTTTTTTTTCCATTGGAAAATATGAGCTGTTCTTTTGATAAAGTAAAATTTTGTATTCTTATCCAGCCCAGCCTTTCTTTCAGGTTTTGAAGTGAAAATCATCTCCATTATACCATACCAGCCTATGAGCACAGAATTCTAAGTGACTTCACTATAAGTCATAGGCTATATCATACTAGTTTGGTTTTTTTTTCTCACTCTTTTTTTCCTCCTTTCTTTCTATTTAACTGCAATGCTTTCAACTTTGTTACTTTTCAGAGTGAATTGAGCACATCTTATTGCTAGAATATAGTTAAATGTCTTGAAGTTTTTCACCATGACATGCAAAACCATCTCAGCTGAACTTTAAAAGACATTAACGTAGCCGTGCTACATCTACCAAGCTGCACCAGGTTGCCCCCCAGAAATTTCCCTGCTGGTTTTTGAACAAAAAACTACCCGCAGTCACTCAGGGAACAGAATATTTCAAGGCATTTTTTTAACAGTAGCCTTGTATCTTTTGGCTAATGCTTTCTACTCCAGTTTTGAAACCTGGATTACTGAGCTATAGCAAAAGTTAGCCACAGTTCAGGAGTATTTCAGGTAGAAGATAACATCTTTCAGTCCTAGCCTTCTCTGTTTTCTGAGCCCTTTTCTGCTGCATTGGAACTTACACTTGTTACCACTACATGACTGTAACAGTGATATTAACATCAACTTCCTGAACAGAGTCCAGAGATGATAAAACACACAATCTTTCTAAAAAAGAAAGCAGCTATAGAGATGTAAAAGACTCCTTAACTGAGAATTCATTCTATTTATTGTATCTTTGTGAACTGAATGGATATGTCTCTTAGACCACAACTATCTCTGCTAACATTAATGGCAATGAGTTTGTTTCCCTTCTAGTCATTGGCTTTATTTTGTTTTGTTCTTGTAGCTCAAAGCTTTCAGTAATACACATTTCCAAGGAGCATGTATAGATTTCACAGCAGAAGTTTCTGATTTCACATCATTCATACCATGTTCTTTTAAGGTTCTTCGGGGTTGGTAAGTGTTGTTTTACATGCCACCATTTTAAGTAATTTTTTTTTTTTTTTTCCTAATGATACTAAATTTCAGATCATCAACTTAACACACTGATCACATTCCATCACATCTTAGACTTTTTGTCTTGCAATGTAGCTCAGTAAGCATTGCCCTGCTGTTGATTTGGGTAGCATGCTTTTGTTTTTCCTGTTGGAAGGGAAGCTCACAGTTACTGTGACTTTCTTTTTTTAATTCCCATTAGAATTTATTCCAGATTTTAAGAGTTCTGTGCAGGAGAGGTATCTGCCTTCCATTAGTGTCTATTGATTCCAGGACTGAAATTTCAAATTTCTATACCACATGATTTGATTTTTATATTTTGGTTGCTTTGTCACATAGCCATTTGAGTCACTTTAGCTTTAAAAAACACACAAGCTTAACAAGGACAAACAGATTTATTTTTTTTATCCCTTGCTTCCTTAGCAAATACTAACTCTTGAAAAACCTTATTAATAATAAGCAACTTGAGCTGCTAATCTTTTTTGTTACTTTGTTCCTGCAGTTGGCTCCTGTGTTACCAAGGGGAAATTGATGACAATCATTGTGTGCTGGAAGAAGGTCTCTACATTGATCTCCTTTCCTGTGGCTGCCCAACTGCTGCAGTCAAATCCCTCAAGCCTATTGAATACGTAAGGACTTCATTGAAAAAAATAATGCTTTGGAACTCTTTTATTAGTCAGATGCCTGAAGCAAGTGCTCACGTTAAACAAACTCCCACTCAGGGAAAAAAGTAAAGTTTGTTTTCTTGGGTTATGGGATTTTGAGACTTGGAACAAGTCAGGCTGTGTGCATGCTATCGTGTAGGCACACACTCTTGGATGCTTCTGTGTTCTGGGCTGAAGGTTACTCTTTTTTGTAGGAGTTGCATTGTTTGGTGTTTTTCTGACTGGCCTTTGTGATACAGCTCAGCAACTTGGTACACAGCAAGATATTGCTTTTTGTTGTGCTGTCTAAGCATATGGGGTTTCTTATATTAGGCCTATAGCCAAGATTCAGTCTTAAAGTACACACAAAATTGAAATTATATGGTAGCATAGACTTGCCATAATGCTTTTTAATTCACTGTTTTGCAGAAGTGCTAAAAAGATTTTTGCCTTCTAATGGCATCTCAAATTCTGAGTCAATAAATAAAGTGATACAATATGCTACACATGGCACTGTGGGCTGTGTATGACACATCAGATAATTCAATCCAAAGCTCGTTTCTGGCCATTCTCTTCCTAGTGACAGCTGAGATATGGGACAAGTAATAATTACACATGGACATTATCTTTATATGACTTTCGTATTGATTGTACTACCCAAGAGCAGATCTTGAAGTCAGATGACTTATTGTATCAGTAAGGTGAGATTCAGGATTCTCTAGTGCCATGACAGGAATGTTTTGTATTATCCAGTACAAGACAAACACAGTTTTTCTGGATCTTGCTGTAATCTAGCACACAGAATTCATACCTCTGGAGTCTCATCATGTCTGTGCTTTTGTCTGATATCTGTGTATGCTCCTATGGAAAAGCTGTCCATAATGCTGTCAGTAAAAGAGAAGCATGTGTTTGCTCTACCCACTCCCTTCTAGCACTGACCAGCTTCTCCAAAAGTCTTCCTCCTTCCCTGTTCACAGAGGACAAATTCAACCCATGTAGCATGTGTCCTTTACCAACACTGAAACTAGATCATAAAGATTACTCAATTCACACTTTTCTTCAAAGTCCTTTTTTTCCTGTTTTTGAACAGGTTTTAAAAGAACACCAAAAGCTATCCATGGGATGGGAAGGATCTACAGTTCAAGTCTGAGAGCTGGTCCTTTTGCTAGTTTACTCAGGTCTAGCTGTGTTGAATTCAGTGGAACTGTAGCTTTTCACTGAGAGCCTAGTTTTCAGATTGAGGATTTCCTTTCACGTTAGGCTTTTGTGTTCTGCTCTGCTAAATCAGAATGAAGTTTTGACATGAAATGATAGGTCTCATCCAAATTCCCCAATTTGGCATAGTAATAAGCTATTGGCAGTCCTTGATTACCAAGGGCCAAGCTCTGGGAGAAGTGTGTTTGGCAAGGCTCTACGTGGAAAGCTTATGCACATCTTCCTGTGCTTTGTATGTGGTTTGCACCTCTGGTTCAGTTCCTTTCTTGCAAATAAGAGACCTTGTATTCCTCAAAGTGATGGCATTTAATACTGTAAAATGCTGTTGAACCACACCTGCTTTACAAAGAAAAATGCACTCATTGACCCCTAACACACTGTGTTAATCACGCAGGACAATGTTCAGAGACATTGTTTAGCACAGACGTGATGTTAAGCACACAGCAGTAAGTTTGGTCGATGGTCAGAAACAGCCTTAGTTCATTCTGTGCATTGTCTGCCATGCACTATTGTTGGTACAGAGCCCTTTTTATCACAAGGTATTTCTGTTAGCTCATTCAAGAGAGCAGCAAATGTATTCCAAAGTGGGATTGTTGTATGGTGTTATTGAATTCTGCTGAGACATTTGGGAAATACACCCATTGTTCATGTTTAAATATCAGCCCATTTTCAATCCTAGAGTGTGTATCTATGATTCCATGAACTTGGTAGCTCATGCATATAGGGAAGAATGTGGAACCCTGACACCAAGCACTGAATGTGCGTTGTCTCCTGTTCTCCTTTAAAGCAGATATATGCTGCAAGTATTGCTGTCAGAAGGACTCGCAGACTTGGGGGGGAGCCATGCACTCCTTCAGTGCATAAGGTTTCTGCATCCCAGATGTTGACTAGAAGTAGAAGCCCATGGCACTGACAGAGGAAGGGAAAAATGCCCTTAGTAGTACAAAGGACTCCTCATTACTGGTCCTTGAGATGAGTCACAGGTCCGTTGACCAGCCAGTATTTTAGAAGTAGATTGTTTCAAATCATTCTTTGGGACAGGAGGACAAATCTGCTGCATGACATGAGTACTTGGCATCTGAGTATTCCCTTTCTAATTTGCAAATTAACTGTATGGATTCATTGGGATTGTGCAGCTGAGTAAAGTTTCAGCTTAGGGACTTTAATTGCAATGCGTGGTGTGTGTGTAAAAGAATATGGGTTCTTTATGTGAAGCTAACTACAAAGTAGCTGTGAAACAGAGCAATGAGCATAGGTTAGTAACACCTGAAGGGACATCAACTGAGAATTAAAACTAGTTGTTTGTAGTACTCTTTCATCACATCAGTGCTCTTTTCTGGCCTGGTGGAAAAATACTGTGAGATATCAGTGGTATTTTTGGGACTGTGTGAGGTAACAGTAAAGCCTTAGTCAGGCAGTAACTTCTGCAATTCCTTGACTGTTTTTTTTTTTTTGTTGTTGTTTGTTTGTTTTTTAAATAGATTAGCCAATTCCTTGAACAAAAGGGAAGAACCTGAGAAAATTTTGTTCTCAGAATAATGCAGTTATGATGCAAGCAGAATATTTGCAATTACAGCAAACATTTCTAAATGGAAAAAAATATAAATACACATTCATAGAAAATTAAAATTTATTGTTTTATTTTGAAAATTGCCAGAAATGTAGTTTGTTTAAAAGCTGAATTTCCTAACAATTTGAAAAATGTCATTTGAAATCACTGAGCCGACCCAATTAAAAAAAAAAAAAAAAAGAAAGAAAGAAAAGAAGCAACAAAAACAACCCTTTTGTAGCAATACAAAATGGGTTTGAATAGGAAAACAGGTGACAGTCTGATTTTTTACTGTTTTAGAGTGGCTAACTCCTAGCTCTTGGGGAGATGTGTAATGGGTTCATAACTAAAAAATGGAGTTCTTATCATTTAAACAAGGCATGCTGCCCCCAGCCCCTCCACACATGCACTCCCTCTCCCCCACTTCTCATGAAATTCAGATTGTCATGATACCACTTTGGTTATTTCCCCATTTACGCACTAGCATCATGTAGAAATTAAGCATGCTTTTGAGAACAATTTCAACCACTTTTTAAGAAAGAGCTATGGGTTACAGAAAAGTTATGCAGAAGGAAGAAAGCATTTCTGTAGCACAATAGTAAGAAAATAATATCCTTTGTTTTCAACGTTCTGGAAAGAAAAACAGTATTGTAGTACCTGTGTGTTAATCTAGATTGTAAGGTAAATAATGATATGTTACGTAGCCTCTTCTCTTCTGAAAAGGGCTCTTCTCAAAGTGCAAAGACTCTTTTTAATTTTCTACTTTCTAAGTGGGGAAAAAAGTGCTGGAAAGTGTACCTTTTAGTAACTAATTTCCTTAAGTGAACAGGCAGTTATGTGGAAAACCCACTTAGATTGGTAGGATACATGTCTGTATCACAGCGGTAAGAACACTGGAGCTCATGCAGCTTGCTTCTCATTGTCTCCCTTTATCTAAAAATCTGAAACCTTGTTAAAGAGATGCTCACTGATGAAATTTGCTGAAATTATTGTTGATGCCCACTGTGCAGGTAGGTAAGAACAATACAGGTTAAGAGTTGCTGCATTTGCAGCATAGGCGCGGGTTTTCATGCTGGTATCAGCAATGACTGGCCTGCTGTGCTACCTTGAATTCAGGAAAAGGAAAGCAGAGGCCATGTACCCAAAGGCAAGACAGCACATGAAGTCACCTGGGGCATTTATGGGGCTGTGGTTGCTTACTGGGGCATTTGTCCATTGTTTGTTTCTCAAAGAGTTTTGGGGATGGAGACCCTTACAAGATGTTCTTAGGAAATGAGGCTCACCTTTAGTTGCAAACACATTATTTTGTTAGACTCCCCAAGGAACATAACATGCCATTACCAGGATGACAGTACTCAGGATTGTTGCAGCAAGCAATTACTTTTCCTTCTAAAACATTAACTTCATCCTTAAAGTTAAACCAATCCCAGAGCTTGTCAAAATTCTAAATTCATTTGCTAAAAACAGAAATGACGTCTGGGTTGTAGGGCCATACAGTGCTTTTTCTTTCTTCTTTTCTTCTGAGGTTTCTTATTCTTCCTCTGATTAATCGTGATATTTCCAATATTTCCGTATTGCTTATCTTTAAGATAAATACAGGTGTTAACTAATCTTCCCAGCATTCCTGTGAGGTAAATAATCAAATCAGATACAAAAAGTAATCAGTATTTCCCAGGCCAGGCCATGAGTCATCTGGTGCAGCTGGGGCTGGACCGTGGGTGTTGCTGTCTTCCAGAGCAGTCTCGTTTCCCTCAGCCAGGCATCCTTCCCACACTGAAGGGATTAGCCAGCAGAACACAACTTCAGCAAAAACAGTTGTAAATAATAAACAAGTCAAGACTAAAAAGCAGAGATTTTTTCCAAGGATCCTGTAATACAGCTATTGAAGCTTCTCCAGTGAGACTCTGGCAAAGGCTGTTTGCATAGCTGCAGGTCAGCAGGGACCATGATGGGTTTGCAGCCATGCTTTGTTTGCAACCCCGTGGATTTATTAGGTTTTCTCATTTGAGTTTGCAAAATCTATGTTTGCCAAAAAAGATGTGTGAAAAAATATGTTATGTTGGTAAATCTTTCTCAGTGGGATGATTAGTAACAATTTTTGACAAAATTCATAGTGAAAATTATCTATCTTTATTATAAGGAAATGTGTGCAAATTCCTACATGCACTTGGGTTTCAGTTGTAGCACTTTTGTTTGCTTTCTTTGTATCTCTATACTGTTTTGTCTCCTTGAATCAGGCACCCATGCCTTACAACGCAAAGAAAAAAAAAAGGCTTTTGAAAGGAAGCTCACCCTGCATTGATCTTTAATGCTTCCAACTTGCTTTGCATTTTTTCTGAACTGAAAATGTTCAAAATCCTGTTCAAAATGAACTACGAAAAATGTGTGGTGCACAGCTTCTCTCCATTAAGTGAAGGTGGAAGTCAAAGGCTGAGCTGAGCCAACCTGAGATGTGCGAGAGACTTTTTCTGTGTCGATCTCCATGGCTTAACTTTTCAGCCTCACGCTGTGGGGAGGGAGGAAAGCTTTCTCATTTTCCTTCCTTGCATTATGGGATATATTAACCGTAGACTGCCACACCTGTTAAGTAAAGAATATCATTGTACTTAGCAGTTTGTATGGGTGCTTGTACTTTGAGAACGCTACGTAAATACAGCCTTCACTAGCCTCTTCAATGTATTAAATCTTTTCGAGTTTCTTCCTCGTTGACGTTGACATTAAAAACAGCAGAAACTAAACCTTCAAAACTTTATTGGTGTTGGTTTAAGCAAGGCACTTAATTCCTTAATACACAGGATCAGATTAAGTGAATTCTTTAGTGTACTGTCATTCTTGCAGTTGGTAACCCTTCATCAGAGAGTAACATTTCAGATATTTTCCTCGAAATAACTGTGAAAAGAAGCTAATGTAACCTAGACATGGGAGTGATTTGCCAGTGGTGGGTTAATGTAGATGCCTTTATCTCATCTTTCAAAATTTGAGACTGGGGTCCATTTAAAGTAATGTCCTAAACTGAGGTTGTCTGTTTGTCTCCTCTTGTATCTTGTTGTCTCCAGCTGCCTTTCCTCTGGCCCTCAGAGAGCCGCACTCTTCTCTGATCTATCAGGATTTGGCCTCAGTGGAGTAAGCTGGTCCTGGCAGTCTCACACTCACCTATCACTCATGGCTCTTCAGCCTGAAAATGAGTTAAAATGCACCTCAGCATCCTTTGAAGAAGGGCAACAAACAAAATGTCTCTGTGAGAAGTGCAGTAGCATAGCCTCAAAACCTTGGTTGTTTTTTTTTTTACTGTTGATGGTTTCTATGGAGCTAAGAAAACAAAATCAGAGAGAAAAGCCAGGCCAAGTCACTGCTGCCAGCTGATGGCGTAAAATAGCATATATAAAGTGAGTAACCAGAGCATTGCTCTATATATGGTTATGGAAACAGCTTCAGTGCTTGAGACAGCAGCATGTTTTCTGTTTCTGTACTTCATGTCTGCGCCAAGATCAGTGAAGTCCTTCGAGGTCTCACTTACAGAGTTGCATCAATCCTTGCGATCAGTTCCCAGTGTGTCTCAGATGCAATGTCTGCTGCATACTGATAGACTGGGATTCTGAAAAACCTGATGGCTTTCACGTGGCCATTAAAGTTCAAGTTATCTCAGCCATGTGCAGTCATTTCAATGGACTCCACCCATTTGCTGTTTGGATGATTTATAAATGGATAATGCTCGATCACGACTGTTCTGTCCAGCACAGCATCCCTGTCCTTAATATATTGGATACTGCAAAAGCAAGATATCTGTAGGCTTTGGTAGCAGTGTCTAGCAACAAGGATACCACCAAGGATGCCTTCTGATGCATTTGAGAAAACTCTCCCTTTTGAACCAATTCTGCATGTGGCTTTTCCACTTAGCACTTTTTCCATTGCCAAGGGAGTTGGCTTTCTGCAGGCTGGAGTGTGATAGCAATGCCTTGCTCAGCAAAGCAACCTGAGAAGTAGCTGCCTGCACTCAATCTCTTGATCTAGATTGCAAAGTAAGCTATAAACACACCTCATCCACCAGAAGGCAGATGGGGAGAACAGACATTCCAAAATAAAGTCAGTGATGAGTATTAATCTCTTCCTGCTTTGTACATAGCATTAGTTTTTAGGAGTGTAACTTTTTTATAAAAAAAAATCTTTCCAGGTGAATGATATCAAACCCTTCTTTAGAATTATCCATCCAGTGCCCTGTCCATGGAATGTAGCATGACTCGCATTGTCTGCAGTGGTCAGTGGAGGAAAGTAATTTCTCTGAGGCAGGATTTGAACAACCACCTACATACCAAGTGCACTGAGTCAGAGCCAGTAAGTTTGTAAGAGCTGAAACACAGCTAAGCTCTTGAGATACTTCACTCATATGCACGTGCCTCTTCAAACATGAAAGTTATGTTCTCTTAATTATAAAGTATAATTCAGTATTTTTTCATTCATTCCACCTGAGGCAATACCTTTGCTACAGAAGAAATTCTGCCTGTTGCAGTGAGCTGGCTATCACAGGGTGATGTCTCCAAAGAAAAAGGCTGCTGATTGTAGCAGTCAGACCTACTGTGTCTTCCTTTATCAAATACATCAGAATATAAATTGCAAAAAAGTGCTTATGATTTCAAGTTTAAAAAGCTGAAAAACCACTATAATATTCCTTGTATGAAGATACTTGGCTAAACATGAACCAGCAGTGCCACTACCCATGTATCCAAGAAGTCCAGTGGCATCTTGGCTCATGTAAGTTGCCAACAGGAGCAGGGAAGTGATCATCCCCCTATACTCAGCTCTGGTGAGGCCGCACATCAAGTACTGTGTTCAGTTTTGGGCCCCTCACTACAAAAAAAAGACGTGGAGACCCTGGACTGTGTCCAGAGAAGGGCAGTGAAGCTGTGAGGGATCTGGAGCACAAGTCTTACAGGAACCAGCTGAGGGATCTGGGATTGTTCAGTCTGGAGAAGAGGAGGCTCGGGGGAGACCTTATAGCTCCTAGAAATGCCTGCAAGGAGGTTGTGGTGAGGTGGGAGTTGGTCTCTTCTCTCAGGTAACAGTAGTAGGGTGAGAAGGAATGGCCTTAAGTTGGGCCAGGGGAGGTTCAGGTTGGGTGTTAGGAAAAATTTCTTCTCCAAAAGCGTGGTGAGGCAGTGGCACAGGCTGCCTGGGGAGGTGGTGGAGTCACCGTCTGTGGAGGTGTTCAGGAAACGTTTGGACAAGGTTTACTGGGGAAGTCTTGGTGATAGATGGATGGTTAGACTAGATGATCGTGGAGGTCTTTTCCAAAACTGGCATTCTGTGATTCTAAAACATAGACTTTTTATGTTTAAATGAGTTCTGTTTATGTTTAAATGTTTTTCTGCCGATCTTGCAGCTGTAGCGCAGTTAAGCAAGCTGATCTTACTTTCATAAGAAAGTGCTGTAGAGAAAGGCATAAGTGAAGAGTGTTGCAATTCTGCATGAGATTGATGTCTCTACTAATAATGTTAATTTTTTCAAGGTTGTCAGAAGAAAAATAGGAATGTCTGTAAAAACATGGAAAACTTTTTAGTTCTGTTGTTTTTAACATTTTTGAGTTTTCAGATCCCTAAGATTATTCCAGTGAACAAACCACCAAATAGTTAATGGCAGTCAGCACACAACAGTCTCGTGATTTGCCTCATTGCTTTAGTAGCAATCTGCAGATTACCCTGAGAACTGTTGTAACCTGTTCCAGCTGTAAATAAACAGGATTTTTGAAAAGCAACCAAGGGCCTGATGATACTGACCAGATCACAGAGAGATTTTTCAAATGCAAACAACTCTCTGCATCTCTAAGTGGCTCATTTTCTGCCTTGTGTCAGTGGGGAATATACTTTGATGACTATGCCACTGATAAATCCAGTATGTTTCAGGCACGTATGCTTTGTTGGGAGATGCACTTTTTCTTTCTTTGCTTCTATATTTGCTGAGAGAGCCCGATCTAACCCCAAGGCAAGTGGAAATGAAACTGAAGTGGTAAAGTGTGTGCATCATGCTTAGCAAATGAAGTTAGACTGCTCTCAGTAAAACATTGCTTTTCCCCCTCCTCACCAGGTTTTTGCTGAGCCCTCCCTCAGTCTGTTTGCACTGGAATGCTGCAAGGGCAGAGAGCTGCACTTCAGTGAGCCTGTCAACTCTGTTCTGAATGAAGATCTTCATTTTTACACTCAGTCTGTATGGGTGAGAAGCGGATTGTAAGTATGGGAGAAATATCCTTGTTATTTGGGGGAGCTAATACTAAGCATGTGTTTCCTAACAACTGCTGCCTTTTTTCCATAGGATGCATTTTAGATTCTAACTTTTGAGACATTTCAAAATCCTAAAATGTTGTTGAATGCTAGATCCAGCTTTTGTACCAAGATTCAAAATGAAAAAGAGCTCCAGGCAGAGGATGCATTTCGTCCCTGAAAGAACCAGCCCTTTATCCCCATGCATTAACAAACAGTAGAGCCTGTTGTTCAAGCCAGGAGCCAAAAGTAAATCAGTAAATTCCTGACTCACAGGTAGAGCAAACTTGAACTGCCTTTGTTAACGGGCTATAAAATACCAGCTGCAAACTGCAGTGATTTAATGTGAGCCACTGCAGTGGCTCAGTGGAGCTTGGCGTGCTGCTCAGCTGCCACAGAGGCAGTGACTTGTGAGAGCAGCTCCGGGCAGATGGGACAGCTGGAGCAGTAATTTGCTTCTGCTGTTTGTTTAACCCCCCTGTGACTGGGAATAAACACCCAGGCTCTTCTGTGAAACCATCTTAAGTCTGCAGAAATTATCTTCCAACCTCTTTCCCTTTCACCTTCTGGAGAAGCTCCCAAGTGCTCTGTCTCAGCTGAGTTTCAGGGCTCCACTTCAACAACAGGAACAGAGAACTTGCTGGGTCTTGTAATGGGCTGACTGGAAAGCACTGTCCTTCAAATATGACACGCATTTCCTCTGTGCATTTTTAACCCTTTTCCTACCTCTCTCATGGCGTTCACATATGCAAGGCTGTAATTTTCTTGAGAGGTCTTACAAGATACAAAAAAAAACGGTGCCAAATTTGAACTAATTGGGCAGCAAACTAATGTGGACTGTTTACTGCTTATGTATACCTCTGTTGTGATTTTTATGATGAATTTCTCAATTGCATCGAGTCTGGTGCCACCTAAAGTAAAAACTCTTCTACAGGTATCTGTGATAACACTGCTTGAGCACTCATCTGATACTTAGAGATTGGTACAGATCCTGAGCCTAATCCAGCACATGCTCCCAGAGTAATCATCTGCTGTGGTTGCTTTTGAATTGTACTATCACTGAGGTTGGAAAAGGCCTTTTACAGTCCAACCCCCCAACCCATCCCCATCATGCCCACTAACCACGTCCCTCAGTGCCTCACCCAGACGTTTCCTGAGCACCTCCAGGGATGGTGACTCCATCACCTCCCTGGGCAGCCTGTGCCACTGCCTCACCACTCAGAAGAAATGTTTCCTAATATCCAGCCTAAACCTCCCTGAGGCCATTTGCTCTTGTCCTGTTGCTGTTAGGTAGGAGAAGAGGTCGATTCCCACATCGCTATGATGTGACTTGAGGCTCCCCATGATGGTGGAAAGCAGCTACAGTTTGAGGCTGAAAACAACACGTACGCATTCCTGGGTGCTGGTATAGGGGAAGAAGGGCTGTCGCTGGGAGTAACACCTGACTTATTTCAGTTGGGAAATACTTCTGTAGAGTTGTTCCAATCTATAGGGTATCCTACATGGGAATCTTTGTATAAGCTGTCCCGGCCTTGTCAACAGGTGTGCAGAAGTGGAAATTAATGGCTTTGCCTGTGGAGTTGGTCGTTAAGGAAGGCCTGAGGGCTTTGAAACGCAGTAAAAAAGCACATGAAAGTACATGCAATGTTCCAGCCCTTTCCCCATCTTCCAATTAATTTCTGTGCTTTGCAGCCTGCAGTGAGTTGGGGCAGAATAATTACTTGCCTGGCTGGACTTCCTCTGAGCTCCCTGTGATGCTCTCCAGGAAGTAGAACTCCACAGCCTCTCCTCATCCTTCACTACAGCTGAAAGACTAAGGGTGTGATGGGATTGTGGGAAGTCTATGAGATATCGTAGAATACTGCCTGTAAGTTCATGAAGGTGGATTTAGAGGGGTTTGGGGCTCCTTGTCCCAAAGCGTACTGCAGCCTTAGACAAACGACAGAGTAAGATTTATGTATATGCAATGGCTTCTTGCTGCTCTGCCACTTTAGTAAGAGAAAGCATAAGTGTGGGGTGTGCTTTGGTGAAGGGGGCTGTGGTTTCTCCAGGGTCTGAGAAAGGTGGCGTGGTGTGGGGGCTGCCATCTGTGTGAAACCTGATGAATTTTGTCTATGTCACCAGATATGTGCCAGTGTAAGCATATGCTTTGGCAACATAAACCAATTTCATATGAGACTGTTCAGTATTCCAGGAAAATTGTGAAAAGCAGATTTTCAGTGGCTTCACAGAAAGCATCACAAAAAAAAAGACAGAAATGTGTTCTAAGTATAAAGAACCTGCAGTGATTGTCAGCGCTGATCCAAATACCCATTATTTGAAAGAACAGTGATATAACCTCACTAAGGGACACGTCACTGTTGGACCATTTCAGCTCCATTGGAGCTCCTTCCAAGTAAGGCTGTTTGTCTGCTCCCCCAGACGTTCTGAATGGGAAAAGTGCACTACAGGTGCTGTAAGCACTGCTTGTGGATATTTTATTGCTGAATTGAAAGAAAGTGTGCAGCCATTCCTCTTGTTCTTGGCAGCTGACTTTGTAAAACAGGTAACTGGGGAAACCAGTATTTGCTTTGTGTTCAGATGAGTTAATGAGTCAAACATTTAGGTTCACTGTCTGTACAACAATGTCCTATTGATTGAAACAAAGCTGATCTGTGATCCTGAGGCTGCCTTTGTAAGCAGCAACACAGCAACTACTGAGCAGATGTCTAGATAACAAGGGATCTGTATGTGCTGGTCCTTGAACTCTGTGTTAAAGGTTTCAGCCATGTTCACATTCAGATATATTCACTGCAGTAAAGTCTGTTACAGCAATTTATGGGGTTTGAAGTAAATATTTGTCATGTATTTTTGTATTCTATATGTGGAATAGCTTTAGTTGTTAAAAAAGAAAACACAGCCCGTGGCTTCCTAATTTCCTAATGCATGCTCACTGCAGCCAGCATTATTCCCATCTGGGTTCATGCAGAGATTCTCAAATTTGTGGGAAAAGCCTGGGGGGAACTTCTAAGTTTGAGCTAGGAAAAAGCATCTTAATTTAGACAAAACAATCAAGCCGCAAAAATGAGTGCTGTCCTGGAGCATAGTAATACAGCTTTGATGGTGTCCCTGCTGTGGGGAGGTCTGGGGCCTTTCAAGAACATGGTCCTGAATGTAAACCTGCAACTTAGTTTAGTTAACATGCAGTCTTCTGTGTTCTGCTTTCTGTATCCAGGTGGATTGCATACGAAGGATGTAATTTTTTAGGAAAGCAGATTCTGTTGGAGCCTGGTGAGATTTCTAACTGGAATGAGTACAGTGGCTGGAAAGTAATTGGCTCCCTTCGTCCGGTGAAGCAGGTACTGTAAGAGTGTGTTTTAGGCTGGGTTTAGTGTAAACTAACCAAGTATAATGCTGCACATAGTGCTTCTTCAATCAGGCTGGATGATGACAGCCAGAAGGACATACTGAGAGGTTACTGAAGCAGAAAATTCTTCCATTGGCAGTTACTGAGATCTATATTAGGCTCCTAAAGGGAAATAATTCCTTGCTTCTCAGAGCCAAGCATTAGCATGTTCTAGATGCTCTATTTTTACATTTGCCATATAGAAATGAGAAAACCAATTCTATATTGACTTGTTTTGCAATTAACACAAATGGAAGTGAGGACAAGTTGTTCTATCCTATAGCCAGGAGTTCCAAAAGAAACAAAGCTTACACTATACCACCAGGCTTTCTCTCCCTACCTCACCCCCCCCTCCCCAAGTAATGTCAGCGTCACATTCTGCCCCTCTGCCTCTCCAAGTTGCATCAGGTAATAACACAGGTGAGCTCTACTGTGTGTGAACCCAGCCACACACATCTGTGGGAGGGCAGCATCCTGGGAGAGGGGAGGAGGGCAGGGAGATGGGGAAGGAATGTGAGCAGTAACTCCACTGGAAGAGTTTTCATTAGTTCTGCTCCTCAGAGAATAGCTTGTCTACACTTAGTGACAAATGCTGCTTTATTGTTAAATAATAGATTCAACTGAGGACATGTTGCAGTGAACAGCATGATCATCTTTAGCAATAGTTTTGCTTATATGCTTCCCCACTGGAAAAGGGAATTTTTTAAAATGATTTATTAGTCTAGGAAGCTTACAATTCCCTGGAGTTCTGTGAAAGAGGTAGCCAGCAAAAGATCCCACTTTGGCTCTGTTTTTACAAATAATAATACAAATAATATGTGCCAATCTTAAAAATAGAATTCTCTCTTCAGCCACAAATACAAAAAGCTTTTGTATTTGGTAGCATCCCTTTTTATACTGCAACAGTGAGTAACGTTCTAAGTAGTACCTTGTGTATTTTGCTGGGGATTTGGGCATTTGGAGCTTGTTTTTATTTTAAATCCTGCAGACTGAAAGCTTCCTCAAGTTTGTGCAGTCAGCTCATTGTGCCTAATGCTTCTATGGCATATGGGTATTTTTTAAAGACTGGAATAATTCTACAAACCTACACCACTTTATATTTCCTCCTCCCTTCTGTGTCAAGTCTGCTGGTGCAATAGGTAGTGCAAGAAAAATCTGAACACTTGAAACACACATGTCTCAAGATGAGACACAACAGTTTTACTCAGTGACCTTTCTAAGTTCTCTTCCCTTTAAAGAACAACTATACAGTATATTTATTAATACGTATTTGTTCATGGATGCTTGGTAGGAGAGAGGCTTTATTGTCTCTTAACATAGGGTTTGTTTTATTATGGAAAAAAGGAGGTTCAAAACTCCCAGGAGAAAAACTATTTGCAAATTGATATCTGGCGGGAGCTACCCTTCAGTTGTTCACTTTACTTTATTTGCTCCAAAATCAGTGAATGGAGGAAAAACTCAAACCCTGTAGTAGCCCTATAGAGCAGCCTTATTTTTTGAGTAAGCTGTGTAAGCCGTGATGCCAGCTGAGTACCATTTTCTGTGCATGTTCAAGAGCAAAGGTCAAACTTCTGTGCTACATATTCCAGTTAGTGGTGTTGAACGTGCTGGATATGCAACTCAGCATGTTCTGTATTCAGAAAATGAAAAGCTTGTGGATTATAGCCCATTTACTGGCCTTGGAGTGAAAGAAATGTGAACTAAAGCCATTTGCATATCACAGGGATTAGTTCTATAGAGATAAATACATTAAAGTACACCTTCTCTGCCATTGCTGCTTACAGCTGTTTGTGTGTGAGAAACATTTAGTTCTGTCTTACGTGCACGTTCTCTTCAACTAAAAAAAAAATAGTATTTAACGTGATCGTTTGGAACTGGGAATGCAACACTTTAGAAAACTGATGTAAGATGGAGACGTTCTCCCATCAACTTTTGCAGTCTGTGTGATATGACTCTCCCTTCACACCATTTCAGCCAGCAGTGTACCTCCGAATCAGGAACCGAGCCCAAGGCAAATACCTGACAGTAGGAAGTCTGGCAGATGTAAGAGCAACATCAGTGTGCGTGTCTCCGTACAACGGCAAGGATACCCAGATCTGGCACTACTGTCGTGGGCTCTTCAAATCCAAGGTGAGTTTCCAGATGCTGCAGTGTGTTACTTTAACTGGATTTCCTCAAGAACACAATTCACTGTGTAGATTTCCCCATTCATACCAGGATCGCTTTTGGCCTTTCCTGTGCATCTTGAGCCAAAACTCCCATAGCCCACATGTTCCTACTGTGTATGGACAGATTTGCTGTGTCTGCTTTGGCAAGCTGGACGGACAGCTTTTCACATCTGACAGTGATGTTCCTTGAAAGTTCTTTGAAAGGATTTCTTGAAAGTCTCACTTTTCTCAAAGTTTTATTACCTTTGAAGAATTAGGAATTTCTCTGAAAGGGAATACATGAAGACCTTCTGTGACCAAGCAATCAGTCAACTGCTGAATAATCTGCTGCTAGCTTAATTGCCACTATGGTTACTGCAGTACTGTCAGTGCCTGAAACAGAAACAAGTCAGACACAAAAGCAAGGCTTTGTGGTGGCTGGATCTCACTTGTCTTCTTGCTTCTCAGGTTAACGATGCCTGTCTGGATGTCATTGGTGGCAGAGATGTGCCAGGAGCCAAAGTCGCACTCTGGGTAGAACATGGGAAGGAGAGGCAGAAGTGGAGACTAAATGAGGATGGAACCATCAGTTCATACCTCAGTGACCAACTGGTGCTTGATATTAAAGGTATTTAAAAAACAAACAAAGCATAACAACAACAAAAAAAAACAAAACGAAACCACTCACATGTTCTAATTGTAGTATTCCTGCTCATTTGTACCTAAGTACTGAATCCCCTCTCTCACACCATTTTTATATTCAACTGCTTGGCAGTGGCACAAGAAACAGTATGTGGAGAGCCTTACTCTTTGATCCCGGAGGTTCATAAGTAGTGCTAAGAGCAATAAATGGCTCTTAAAAGACAAAATAGGGAGGGAAAAGCAAACCAGAGAATAGATGTGCCTCAGTAAGAGAAATACTCGTCATGTTTTCAGACTTGTTAAAATTCTCTTTGCTTAAGCCCTAGTCCTGCTGACCAACTATGGCAGAACCACCTATGAAGAAAAATCTCAAATGCTAGTACTGATGGCAGTTCTTACAGTATCAGAAAGCTGTGCTGCAGGGATGTATTGAGGGAACTGGGCTTGTTTAGCTTGGAAAAGAGAAGGCTCCAACGAGATCTCATTGTGGTATTCCAGTACTTGAAGGGAGCTTATAAACAGGAGGAGGAACGGCTGTTTTCAAGGGTGGATAGTGACAGGACAAGGGGGAATGGTTTTAAACTGAGACAGGGGAGATAGGTTAGATATTAGGAGGTTTTTCACTCAGAGGGCCGTGACACACTGGAACAGGTTGCCCAAGGAGGTTGTGGATGCCCCATCCCTGGAGGCATTCAAGGCCATTCAAGGCCAGGCTGGATGTGGCTCTGGGCAGCCTGGTCTGCTGGTTGGCAACTCTGCACATAGCAGGGGGATTGAAACTAGATGATCACTGTGGTCCTTTTCAACCCAGACCATTCTATGATTCTACCCTGAGAGTGGGACATACCATTTGATTGCTCTTTAGAGCACAAATTTCCTTTAGTGAATTTTTATTGATGGCATGATAAGAAGGCACCATTGCTTCTATGCTACATGTATTCCAAGGAGACAAATTATAAGGATTTAGTAATTCTGGGGTTGAAGTGAGTATTCAACACCAAATAATCCCCCAGATCTGTCATTCTGTGTGTTTTCACTGTAGCAATACGTAAGTTAAAAATCCACCCACACAGTGGGAGCAGAGGATCTGCCGAGCAAAATGCCTTTAGCAGTTGTGCTTCTGTGCACAGAGGTACACTGGGGACTCTGCTTCTGAACTAACAAAGCTCCTCAGGGCTTCAGCTGACAAATGAGTTTGAAGGAGACAAACAGCAGTAGAAATGTAAACACTGCCTCATCCCTGACAGAATTTCTCTAAGATAATTTTCCTATTTAGTGGCACTTTTAAAAGATTCTGTTGAGATTCTCAGCATTTGTTTTTAAATTGTTTGCCTTCATGAGTTTGCTTTATTTTTAAGGAGGAAATTACTATGACAAGAATCACATCATTATGAATGAGCCAGAAGAGGACAAACGTTCCCAAAAATGGGATATTGAAATACTGTGAGTAAAACCCACCACAGAGATGGGCCTTATGTGGTTTATGAACACCTGGAGGAAAAAAAAAAAACTACTACTGAAGTCACACACCACTGGAACCTTATGCAGTAAATCCTGTCTTCCTTCACTCAAAGCACCAACTCCTAAACCAAGTGAATTTGCACAAACCTGGAGGATGTGAGGTTGAGCTCATGTCTTTCCCCAAGGACTGAACTATGAGATGATTCTTCGGAGGCCGCTCCTATGAAAGTTAATGTTATTCTTCATCTAAAGTCTTAAAGTAAATGCACAAGACTAGACAGAAGCTTTGCGGGATATGAATGGCAAGAGATAATATGGGAAAGGCTCATTAGAAATACTGATATTTCCTTTCTCTCAGAAAATGATGAAAGCTCATTCTTTAGTACGTGTACTCATGAACTTGAAAGGGGTTGAGTTGGACTTCTGTAGACCAAGTGAAACAGTTGAGGCTCAAAGCAAAACTGAATCTCAATCCATACCTCCTGCTAAAGTGCAATTTATTTTGTTCAAAAGACAAATTTGAACTGGAATTCCCAGCTCAGTGCGTGAAATGGGGCAATAAAACCCTGTTACCTCCCTAGTGTTAAAGGTAGGCCCTGGTCTTATTTGTTTCAGCAATACCAAATTTCCAAGTTTAGGAAGTTCTTTTGCAGATCCGTGGGCTGTTTCCAATCCATGCATTTCTGAGTTATCCCTGAAGATCACCTTTAACATGTAGGCATAGGTGCATCTATCCAGAGTATAAGCTATCCTGGGTCAGGTTAGATTTCTAAAAGATTTACTGAATTTAGAGCAGTACTGATTTTGCTCTAGCTATATTTTGTTGTCATGTATATAGACTAATTTAATACAATGTAATTTGATCTTAAATCCATGTCTTCCTTCAGAAGATAACTCACCAGGTGCTAGCAGCCAGCCCTGCTTCATGTCAGGAACAACTTAACTTAACTACATTCAAAGGTTACTCGGGCTCATCGGTGTCCTCTTAACCCAAAGGATGAGGAGTAAGATCAGTGATGACCAGCCCAACTTGCTGGCAGTTTCCTCAATGTCAGCAAGATGCAACCATCCTACCAGCCCTCTCTGAAGGTTGGTAGAGCACAGTACCTTACTGCACTGCAGTTGGTACAGGCTTGGAAAAGAACATCTCCCTCATACAGGACTGATATAGAGGAGGAACTGCAGCTGCCTGTAGGGCTGCTAATACCTGAAGTGGTGGTCCTTAGCTCACTGCTATCTTCATTGGATTTCTGTGCGACTAAATGAATCTACTTCATTGAATAGGTAATATTTTCATTCCTATTTGTTTATTCAGGGTATGTGTTTCTATTTAAGGAGTTTAGCTAAGGAATTTTAGTTTCCAAAAGTGTTCCTGTGCACTTAAACAGGATTTGACCTCAAACAGAAACACATAACCCTGTTTGCCACAGAAATAAAATATATGGATGTCTATTTTTATATGAAATTGAGTTCTATAGCATAATATTTAAAAATAAAAAAAGTACCTGTGTACTTGCACTTACTATTTTGCATTCTAAAGTTATCACAAATCTGCTGTTACAGAACTCCAAATGTATGTATATATTTCTACAACTAAAGCACTTGTCCTGCTTTTTTAATGTAAATCAGTATATCGAGCGTTCTCCATGTGACTCACTTTCCATACGCAATTTCAAAGCCTGGTTGGAAGGTTCTGGTCTTTCAGGCTGAGAGCACCTAAATCACACAGGTTGGTGTCCCAGTGCTTCATAACCAAGTAAATCAGGCCTTTGTATTTCAGAGATCTTCCATGTAAAATGCCAAGCATGTATATTTTAATTGTATAAAAGTTTTTAGAAGGAATCTTTTGCTTGTCAGTTTCTTCTTTGTTAGCAGATACCAAGTGCATTTGTGTAAAGCATTTTTTTTTTTCAAATGGCCAAAAAAAGGAAATAAGTACGTATATTCAGTAAGACACGATGATGCTATGTGGGGTTACTCATTAAATATAGATCTTAAGGTATCCAAATATCTGCAGTACTCCTGTCAGAATCCACTCGAGAGATATGAAGATCCTTCTTCTAGGAGTAGCACTAATCTGGCAATTAAAGACAAGATAAGCTGTTATATTTCTGAGCAGCTCACTTGCTGCTGAGACACCCACTTACCCACAGCAGTAAGGGAACTAGAAGAACATTCAGCAGCAGGCAGTAGCGAAGTACATTTATATTGCATCACACCATTGGCAGTACAAACTAAGGTTGAATGCAAAAAAATAAAATGAATTTAAGAAACCTTTCACTTAAAAGATTCCATAAGGAGCTAATTCACAAAAGCACTAAAAAACTTCTATTAGACATTCGGTCCACAGTGCCAAGGCCAGGTTTTCCTTCTCTTCAGCTGAGTTAAGTTTGAGCTCTTTCACGCAGACAGTGCAGCCACTCCAAATCTGCTTCAGTGCATCCAGGTGTGACAGAGGAAAGCGCAGTCCATGAGGAGTTTGCTGAGAGGGGGAAAAAAAAATGGGAAAAAGAAGCAACTTGAGCTACATGCAGCAGCATGTTTGTTCTAACAGAGAGGAGAGCAGGACATAGGTGCTGATCAGCAGCATTCCTTTCCCACTTCACATGGGGATTTCTAATTGCATGCTGCAGGAGATCAGCATCACTCCAGCAATTTTCTTAATAAATGGAAAGACAGTTGAAATATATTCTACCATGAAGGGTATGCCTACATGTTCCAGCACCTCTTACTGCTGAGGCAGGGAGATCTAAGGTGTGTGTCATCCTAACTGAAGAATCCTTTCTCTATCCCTGTGTTTTTGAAGGGGCTATCTGACCATGGCTGGAAACATTAAGGGCAGGAAGACACATTCTAGGTTGTGCAACATATTGTGCAAGTGCCTATGTAAGATCTCAGCTACCAGTTTTCTCAACAGGTCCAGCAAAATACACTTCAAAAATTAAGTAACTACCAGGCAGAACTCCCTGCTGTAACTGCTGAGAGGGTGTAGGTGCTGTACATCCCAGGGGAACGTAGACAGATCAAACTGGGATGTAGACACTGACCAGCAGAAGGTACAGTGGCCTCTCCCCCTGCTGCACATATGCCACTGTATCCAGTAGGATATACTGAAGGACACAAAAGTAAGAGACACTTCAGGCTATGCCAATAGCTCTAAAAAGTCACCTAAGGCATAACTCAAGGCACTGATAAGAAACATTCAGCAAAACCCAACATGGCAATGTAGCTTTTGTGGGTGTGGGTCGGGAACAAACCTGTGCTGCACTTTCTTCGCTACCGGTATCGTCATCTTCTGTCCCCATCATGTGAGTTTCTCTCCTGTTCTTTAAGGAATGATAGACATACACCATTTCCTTGCGAATTTCATCCTAAAAGACAGCAGGAGGGTAACAGTTACACTGTAATGATCTGCCCCATCTGACCTTAGATAAAAACCATGCACCTGCTGTGCAGAACATGGACTATATTTAGTTCTGTAAGTCTCCCACCTAAGGCAAGAAGGTGCCATAGTGCTGTTTGACAACAACCTCATGATCTCTTACCAAATCCTAAGAGGATGCAGCACCCAACTGATCCATACCTGCACAACCCTTTGAGACAGACCTGCACAATGGAGCAAGAACTCTCACTCCATGCAACACACCCACAACATGAAGCACAGAAGGGTGGTGCAGGGTTTATACTCACAGAATTCTCTTGATCTGGCTCCACTGTAATTACAGCATGATCCCTGAATTGCAGTCTGATTTTGCTGTCTAATTTTGGCAGTTTTCCACCTACAAAAGAAATCAGAAAAGGAAGGAAACCATATAAATAGTGCAAACTGACCCCTCTCAGCCATTCTCTTGTACCTAGATTATTTGTTACATTCTCACCGTCTGTCTCAAACACAAAGCTCACACTAGATGCAATCTTTGCCTACCTTAAAACATCATAATCATTAAGGGCAGAGTTAGCAACAGCTCTGCCATCACATCAGCAAAAGGTGTCGGTACAGAACTCAAAACTCACCGGGAGTTAAAGAGTCAGCATCACATCCCAAGCAAGGTGGCAAACGGTTCATAATGAAATCCTTCCTCATGTCAGATGATCTCAGTTCTCCACTGTTTTCCAGACGGTCTGCAAGCATTCTCAAAATGCTACTCAGTTTTTTTGTTGAGTCTGCTATATCCACCTGCTAAATATGCACACACAGTTCCTTTCACATGAATTCCAGCTAAACAGAAACTATTCTGAAGAAAAAGAGGCCCAGTAATGAAGTAACGATCTGGAAAGATAGGAGAGGACCACCCAAAGGGTAACAATTACTTTCTCCCAAAACAACAAATATTGTTTCTTTTACATGTTCCACATAAACTGCTCACACATCAAAACTGAAGCTCAGTTTTCCTCACTGTGGGGCTGCCCACAATGCTGAAGGGCCAGCAAGTGTACTTGAAAGAGAGAACTGTTCCTTCTTCACACTGGTGAGCTGATCAGCAGCACAACCAGACTACCTTAAGGATGCACACAGCAACATACAGCTCCATTAACTTTTCAAAAGTTAGACCTATGCCTATCTGACAGCTCCAAACCAAAAAGCACTCCTTTGAGAAGGAAGTGAGCCACACAAGGCTACTGTGATACTGAAGAAAGAAACTGCAACAAAGCGGGCAACACTTCAGCTGGGCCAAACCTCCAGTCACGCTGAAGTCATCAAAAGCTGCTAGACAAGACAGTGTCTTTACACTGAGCTCTCAGAGCAGATCAGGAAGACCCATGCTTCCCTCCGTGCTGAAGTTCCAGCTGGATGCACTGCTTTTTCCCTCAGACCTTCTTACTTACCATAAGCAGTTTCCTTGGGATGCTTGTCCGCAAGGCCACATCCTCTTTTGCAGTATTGAATACAAGGCCAGGAATTGCATCCAGTAAGAAGTCTCCCCAGGAGCTGCAGGACAGGAAGAAGAAAATAGTAATTACTAAAATGGCTGCATTGAAGTAAAACAGGCATACTTTATGTGCACTGAGTAGTATCATTTAACATTCTTTTGAAGCACTTCCATTGCTGCAAGAAACATATCCAGGGCTATCAACTTCAGCACAGATCCATTTTTAGCTTTGCTACAAACTTATGATCACAGGAAGAAGACCCTAATATCTCTCTACAGGGATATATTTAAGATACCTAGATACCTAACAGTCACCTTGTAGCTAGGGGTCTTGTGCGTGTGTTAGATTCCCATTCTAAGGCTGAATACATTTCAGAAATCTAGCTTTTGCTCTCTATGTTTCCATTCCCAAGATGCAATAAGTCAGAGGAGAAGAGGGAGGATTCCCACCTGCATCTTCGTCCTGTAGGCTGAGTCAATCTCATCAGGACCAGGTGTGCCCCTCATGCAAAAAATGTTGTCCTGTCCACCTGTGGTCTCTCCCTACCTCACCCTCAAAGAACAGTGAGACATCTTATAGTTCTTACTGCTTCCCTCCTCTTCCACCAAATTCCCACATCAGCAACTATCTTCAGGCACCCATTACTGTGGCAACTTGCCCTGCTTATAACATATGCCACCAGACTTGTCTTCCTGCCTCAGGCGGAGGTCTGGCCTGGACAAACTTCACTCTAGTGCACAGTGCAGTCCCTTTGGGCTCAGAGCCTGAAATTCCTCAAGGTGTCATCTCATCAGCACTGGAAGTGCTGAGGAAGTAACTGAGGAGCTGCCCTTTCCCCATATAAGGCTGTCAGGTCTCCAGCAACCCTGTTACAAAGAACTTGTCTGTCCAACACTACCTGACACACAACTCTGTATTGATCACACTGGACAAAACCTGTTCTGCACACCAGTATGTAATACAGCAAACCCACTTCCATCAGTAAAGCACGCTTCTGGTGTCACTCTTCTGTCTGTTCAGTTTGCTGCACCGGGGATGAGAAAAGCACCAGGCCAACACAGGAGGCTGGTGTCCCAAAAAAAGGACAGGGAATGGGAGGTGGAACAGGACTTCAGCTCGGGTGTGCCTTCAAACACAACCAAAGCAGCCCGGCGCTAACACTGCCACCTAGAGAATAAATGAACTCAAACACTCTGCAGCAGCCATCAATGCTTACAGAAAATAATTTTTTGCCTTCTCAGCAGAAGAGTATAAATTAAAATCAATAGAACCCATTTTTGATGATGGACTCACACAGCTTCACCTTAACCTTGCTCCTGTGTGGAGAACTGCCCATGTTAAAAGTTACCAGCAGCACTGACATCCCAGCCTTACAGGATGGTACACCTGGTTAGAAATGCATCTTAGAAACATCTAGAACACGCCAAAACTTGTTCTGTCCTATACTGTGCCAACAGAAATCCTTCCTGACTCCAAACTCAAGCCAATGGCTCCAAACCCAGCACATGAGAGCAGCTGAATGAGTTGCAGCAGCATTTCCCTGTGTGATGAAAAGGTTTCAGTGGGCACAAGCATTACATGCATGTCAAAGGAAATCTGTCTTGCATGCATGGGGTAGGAGATGAAAAGCACAGATAAGCAGAAAACACAAGCAAAGAAAGAACGTGCAGCAAGTCCACCAGAACAGGCGTGGGTGACTATGAAATGCAAGAGGAAGGAGATGAAAGGAGCAATCCCCAACTCTCTCCCTGCATTATGAAACAAACAGCAATTTCAGCCACTGCTGAGAGTTCTAAACATGACAGTGAGCTTCCTGTTGTAATATTACTTTCCTCATTAAAGTCAGTTGATGATAAACAATAAAGTAGCCAAGTAATACACCACTGAGTTTGCTGAATAAAAAGCTTGAAGTGGCCTTGTTTACAAGGAAGTGTTTCCCTCCTCTGTTTCCCCCAACCTTCACAACTGAAATTACAGCTACCTGAATGCTGGCCTAGATCTTATCACTAACAGCAGGGTACGTAGGTGATAGTGGGGCACGTGCACCTATTCCATTCCTCTGTATTTCTACAAGGAAATGCCATGCCCTATCTGTGCATTACCTCACAGACAAACAAAAGATACAAGGCTGAATGGAACAAACACAGAAAAGAGCTCAGCAGAGTTCATTACGAGGTTGTATTTTAACAGTAAGACATCACTTCTTTGAAACGT